TTTTCAATAATCATTAATCATATCTTTGTCTGTTCGACTTATGGACTAAAATTATGTTATACGGCATTCTTTGTGTCAACCTTTGCCTTTGGTTCTTTTTCCTATCACAGGAAACGTTTTGGTGATGATGATTCTGCAGCTAGATAAATCTTAAATTTGTTCAGTAATCAAGTTGAATTTTCCTTGCACTCTTTCAAGTTCTCTCAAAACTTTCTCTGTCATTCTAAGATAAGATTAGGTGAGTGGCTTTTAGGATTTGGTTTGTAACTGTAATGTGAATAGTTGTAATTTCACTCTCTCTGTAATTCTTGAAAGTATAATAATCCTATAATTTTATATAAATTTATAATTAGTCAAACAATTTTTCTTTATTTTACTTTAATTTTTTCATTGTTTTTCTTGGTATAAATTTTGTATGCAATAAATTTTAGATAAGAAAGTTCCTCTTGTTCCTAATTTTCTTGAATTTTGTCTCGCCTTTAATCATTTTGCTACATCTTCAAAGATGGAAAGAGCTGTGTAGGATTTATGCTTTTTTCTTTCTCACCTCCGATGGGCACAGATTTTTTTTTTCACTTGTTTGTTTATTTTTATTTAAAGTGGCTTCATTGGACATAATTTGGAAGTGACGGGTTGATGGGATGATAATTCATAGTCTCAGTGAATATCATATGTGTTGAAAGCTCTTGTGGTTTCTTGCGCTGATTCGAATCATATTGTCAGGATTAAGTTTTGAAATGAAAATTGTTCCTTCAGAAGAGGGAAGTCTTACCTCAGAGGTTATTTGAAGAAATAACTGGTGAAAATTTATTTCTTCTCTTGGAGAATCAATTCACCTCTTTAGATTGGTTCATTTACTTATAATCGCAATTTTATTTGATAATCACATGCCATTGATTATCAATCAATTATTGAGATTGTATTTTTTCCCCAAATTCTAAGAATTAATGCAGCAGTATTACAGAATTGAGTGAGGAAACGCTGTAAGTAGAGAGAGCTAAGGATCAGATAAAGTTATGCTACCACCAGTACAGCATTTCTTTCAATGAACCTTATCAAGTATTAACTTTGGTTTGTTTCTGAAGGAGAAGGCAAACCTCTTATAGGAATAGACCTTAAGAGAAAGTACAAAATTAAGTATTTCAGTATGTTTCAGTATCCAAATTTTACATAGGTTACGATGGATGCATTCAAATGTTCCAATGCAAATCTTATGATAGAAATTAGTGGTTTTTGTCCATGTAAATTTACACTTCCTGCTCCCAAAATAACCGGAGTCTATATGAGTGAAATTAAGCATATTTTGGTTTATTTTAGATGAAAGAATTTTTCTGGGTTCTAATGTTTTTGAACAAGATTCAAGGTGCCTTATATCAGACGAGGAAAAAATTTTGGTGAAACCAAGTTCTAGTTGTTCGCCTTAATTATAGGTTGATTTCGATGCCTACTTTGACCTGTGTTGATTGGTATGTCATACACATTAACACTCTAGTTTTTTCTTGGTTTGTTCTGCTGGGTTTTAATGTATACTAATTTGAATTATACTTTATGGAAGGAGTAAGTCGCTGGTGTCACAGGAACCTCTGTTGATATTTGAGTCAGAGATTAGTTAACAGTGATGAAATTCCTTGACGCATCATGTTTCTTTGTCTAGTTTTAGAGGAGGTATTGTTCTTTAAAAAAAATTTTGGATGACCTCATCTCTCAGGTTTTTCCACAGGTAATGTCTTTGTTAATGTTGGATGTCTAAATTTAGAATGTCAATGTTAAGATTGTTGAAGTCTTAAAACCTCTATCTCTAATTACAATATTGCAAATCTCTGCTCATGTTTTATTTTTTTAATGGAACCAACCGAAAATTTTCATAAATTTTCTTGTGAATTTTCCTCACGAATTTAAAAAAATTTGTAAAATATTTTAAGAAAATATTTTCGTCGAATTTTTTTTGAAAAAAAAAGAAAATGAAACATTATCAGAGGTTTTGAGATGTTGCCACAGAGGTCTGAATTTTTCAGGTTCGGGTCAATATAAAGATATTCATTAATATCCTAATATTTTCTATGAATCTGTGAGTTTTGACTATTAGATCCGGTAGTAGAATAAGCAGAACAGCCCTACTTGACTGAGAACAAGGACTAAGCAAAACAAAACCACAAAAGTGATAAATGAGGAATCATTGGTTTCCTTTCGGAGAATTTCCATCAGAAATATGATGTATGACAGCAGTGGATGGTCTTCGCAAATATTTTTCTTGTCTCGTGAATGGTCCTCCCACGATCTATTAAATTTGGAAGTCTTAATATTTCATTTTTTATGTGGGCAACATTTCAAATTTTTCAAAGAGTGGAGCAAGCCCAAGGCACTGAACAGTTTTTATTGAATCAGGAAGGTGATCAACTTTTAAATTTAATGAAATGTTGATTTCTGGCCCTCAATGCCCCTTTATTTTTCTAAGTCAGACTGTGAAGTTGCGGACACTGGAGTTATCTGATTTTAAATATCTGTGCTTTGAACTCAAAGGAAGAAAGGTCTGTGATATTAAAATTGCTACTTTATCTTTTGTGAACAATGGTTGATCGTCTCTCCAACTCCTTACGTTGAAGCGGTGGAAGAAAGTTTGGATTCAAAATCTAAAGGTATGTCAGTTCAATATCAAACATTTGATTCGCCTTTGACTCTCATCACTCAACTGATTGGGAAGATGCAAAGATAATGTTTTTCAGCTGCCAATTTCCCCTTTGCCTAAATATTCCATTACAGTTCTGATCCATCTGTTGAAACATAAGAATGCACTGCTTGCACTGTGAGGAATTTATGAGGCAAAGTTTGCTGTTAGGTTTCCCTTTTTCATACTGTGTATTTTGAAAAGTCTTTTAAGTGTTTCGAATATTGATTGAACTAAGAAGTTGAATAAAGGTTTGTCAACTCCTGAGATCATTTGGTGGCACATTGAATTTTTTTTTGTCTTTTCTCCCCTCCTTATCTTCTTTCAGTTTTTGGGTTAACTTTTGAATCAATTTTTGTGTCGCTGCGCTGTATAATGGTGCTGTTTGAGTCAACAAAGATGAGCCGGAAGATCGGAATACTTTTCTTGTATGTTTCTCCCTTCAAATTGATACTCTTATTTAATGAAATCAAAACGCCATATTTGGCCACTGCCTATTTTTGATATCTTGGAAACCTAGCTACTGGAAAGTTTCAATTCAGATGAAAGATTTTACCAATTGAACAGTCATGATCATATAGCCAATCATTAAGGCTTACTAAGGAAGGCGAAAATTTTGAGAACCATCCGATTCATCAAGACTGGAACTGAAATTACATCAAACTTAAAATTTGATTCAAATTGATTTAACACCAAATCAAAAAATTAATAGAGGCGATGGCTGCAATAATGGCATAAACGAGAAAACCTTGTTTTGAGAAAAATGGGCTTGAAGTTTTACTTTGTGAATAACACGTTGAGCGGGTTTTTTTAGTGGTTGGAGGTTTGAACCCCTCCTAAAGAGTGGCCATGCAGAAATGTATCAAATAATTTAATTTCAGGTGTCTCGTAGATTTTTTTAAAAAAGTATTTCATGGGTTGTTTTTACACCGAAAAATTGAACTTGTGGAAATTTGAGTGAATTTGAGAGTGAAATGAAAAAATGATGTATATCTTCAACATAATTTTATTGAGTGCTAATGTAAATTCGGTAATTCTTAAGAAAAATAGCTTCTGAAGGTGTAGTATAACAAACGAAACAAGCCCTTTTGGCTTATTAAAATTTTAATGAAAGTATGAGATCTGTAAAAAAAAAATGAAAATTAAGCGGTTCATCCAGAATATTGAGAATGAAACAGAATTCAAACCAAGAATTTCCTGTTCACAACTTTATTGACCGGAATTTTGTTGTCAGAAATCGCCGTAGAATCATTGTATGATTATAATATTTTCAGGAATGATACTTCTCAAGTGCAGCATTCAATTTTGCTGTCGGGCGCAAAAACTACATGTACGCGCATATGCCATTATTGCTGGGACTGCCTCAATTGGAGCACTAAATCTCAAAGAAACATAACCCTCCTTTATGATTCAAAAAAGTAAACCTAGAGTGATTCTTTTTGTCAGAAAGTGAAAAGAGAGATGTAAAATGGTGCATTATTTTGTAGCTTTGAGATATTATTGTATGGAAATCATCAATTTTTTAAGCACTGCAAATATCAATTGAACAAAGCCTCAAGTGTGAAATGTACCATTTTTCAAAAGATGGAATCATGAAATGCAAGTGTTCGTAGTGACATATTTTTACTCGAGTAAAGTGCATATAAGAAGGAAATCATCCATTGAAACTTGTAGTCACTTAAATAATTGACTCTAAATCAAGTAGAGATTGATAGTCAAATTGACTGAGCAGTATCATGAAAAGGAATATACAGAATTCAGGTCAAAATTATGACGTCTCATTTCTCTTTGTGGGGTGCTTTTTTTGGGTTGAAGTCGCTCTTGGAGTACAAAAATATCCAAACTTGCCACAATTTTGAATGAAGATATTTTTCTTGGAGGATACCAGAACCTGCTGTAACCTTGATTCAGATTTCAACAAAACCTTTAATGCCCATCCTCAAACCTTAAATCAATGGTGTGTTATTTATTTTTTGGAATTTTCCAACATTTTTGTTGGCAAATGACTCAGAGATAACTTACAGTTGCAGTAGTAGCAACAACTCAAATACATTTTTTCGTAGCTAGAGTGGTTTTCCCCCCTTTTTTTCCTATTCGTTTCCTGATTTATGTTATTTTTTATTTTATTTTTTATTTTTGGCGTGTTGCTTTATATGTGTTTTGATGAATCAATTAAAGATCGTGGAAAACTTCTGGTCAAATTTTTAGGATTGTAGAAGAATTACTTTTGTTTTGAATTTTTCCTCATCTTTCAATGGATGTTACATTTATCAGTTTTTTATTTTAGTCTCGAATTTTTAGTCTTAATCTTCATCTTAATCTTGTTTTGTTACAGGTCATAAGTGGATAAAAGACTCTTGAAGGATAGCGTTTTGTTCGCTCAAGAACACCAAGATGGATTGGAGACAGTAGTATTAGGCTCAAGCCAGTATGCATATCAGACAATATTTGGTCAAACCATGAATTAAAGCTTTAAGATTGGCCGCCTGTGAGATGAAGTAAGTTTTAGCTTAAGATTTATGTCGAAAAGAAGTGTTATGCTTCATAGAAACTTTTCCCTAAGTTTTAGCTTAAGATTTATGTCGAAAAGAAGTGTTATGCTTCATAGAAACTTTTCCCTAGAATGCAGTTGGAAAAGTTATGTATTTTCTGTTTCAGAAGGTGTAAAAAGAAAAAAACGAGACGACAAAATTACATACAATGCAATATTGCTTTTATACTTATATTCTAAGTTTTTGTCGAGTTAATTACACACAACTTTTAGCTCCATTTTAAATCAGGGATGTAAATATGTGTTTGAACACATGTTAATTCAATTTTTGCCTACTTCTGAACTTCAGCATTGAGTAATTCCTTAATTTTCTTGGTTTGTTGAGAATTCCCTGTCAGTCTTTCTACCGACTTTTTTAATTAGTCTGGCTACCAAGAACCCCGTAGATTTAACTTGTTAGTGATGCACCAAGTTCGAACTTTCTTTAAATTTAGTAGTTAACCCCCCTTCATCTCAATTACTTTGGCACTTTACAATCATTCATTAAATTTTGTTCATATCTTGAATATTTGCCAGGCTAAGTCTGCCTAAAATATCCCGCGAAGCAAGTCGGAGGTCAAGGGAAGTAATTGACTCCTGCCTGAAAAACCAATCTGCCTGACTGGCTGTGAAGGCTTGCATCACAAGTCTAGAACAGTTAGTTTTCATCTAAAATTATGTAGGCTAAGTTGGATTTACATTTTCATCAGCTATCAATTGATATATTGATTAATAAATGGCTAAAAGCAGGATTAATTTTGATTATATTTGACCATTTTGACTATCGGAACATTAGTGTGGACAAGGCCTTCTGCTGTGACCTCTTATTCAATTAATTATTTCAACCTCTCAAAAAACCTGGAAGGTATAAAAAGCCAAGCATAGTAAACAGCGAGTTTTAATCATTGAATGTCTTTTTATGATGCGCATATTGCCCTCTGCACCCTCTCAAAAAATAACTTTTCTTTTTTTATATGTTACAGAGCATCTCTTTTATCCCGACAGGAGGCAGAATTGGTATGATCCTGTTTCATAGTTTTGCCAGGAAACTCATTCCTCTCTTCAGTTTCTTTAAGTGTGTCAGTCTCAAAAAGCAGTCTAAAGAGGACCTTCAGCTGGCTGCAAGGAGAAACAATTTTTTCTTTTGTATGAAGGTAATTCTCCCAAAATTTGTCAGAGTAAGGTACAAGAAGAAAGGAAGTACGATAAAACTCTGATATAATTGTTGTGAAAGGGAAAAAAGGATTAGTGAACAGAGACACAAATGATAGTGGTTGGAGGGTAGACATCCTGTATTGCGTCAAGTGAACGGCGTTGCCAACTATGGCATAACTATACTAGAACAGACAAGGCTTTCACTACCTCATCATCTCCCCCTTTAAAACGGTTAGTGGACAAAAGTCATGAAGAGCCCTGGGAAAAGCGTTAAGCGCACGAAGATAGAGTGGTGTTTTACTCCAAGAATCTGCCCAGAATCTTGACTTCTCAGCCAGATTTGATTTCTTGCTGTTTTGCACGACCTTGTCCTTGGGTTGATTTGCCATCAGAATAAGAGTTCAGCTTGCTTGAGTTGTTTCTTACTTTAAAAGAGAAAAACTTACAATGTCTTCTAGGGATTGAGAAGACTTTGAGGGAACTCGTTCAAGTTCAATCACTTCAGGAGATTTAGCCGCGTCAGGTGATCCTGGTAGGTCTACTTGCCGAGAGGATAGGTTTGATGAACCAATGGGTTTTGATTCAGCATCAGATTCAGACGATGACGTAACCATTAGGGATGTATCTTCTTTTGCATTTTCAGGTTGATCTCTGTGAGGAGGTGCATTTTGGGTAATAATGGAGACGAGGGCTACCTGACACATATGAAATTGTATTGTAGGATTTTTACATTTATACAAGTTCTATAATTAAGTTACATAGACGGGTCGAGGCTGTGTCTTTCGTATGGGTCTACGCCAAGATATGGTACGGTTTTGTTGAATCCAAGATATGGTACGGTTTTTTAGAATCCAAGATATGGCACGGGTCCAAGCCGAGATGCAAGTTGTCTCTACGATTTTCACTTCTGCACTGGTTGGCCGGCCTATGCCCTGGCCTCTATTGATTAAATGCCCTTTTAAAGCGCCCTTAGCAGGTTAAGCTAGTGGCAGTTTTTGTTCCACCCAGCAAATTCGGCCTTTTGAATTGGCTTTGCAATTTTGTTAAGTGCAATAGGTGTGGCGGCGCGGCACATATATCATCTTTCAAAGATATGATAATGAAGATCAGTCACCAAAAGTTAATTTCCAGCACCCAAAAAAATGTTTTACCTAAATCAAAAAACACTAAAATTTAAGATTTTTTTTTTGGATTAATTATTTATTAATTATCACGCAAGTGGCAAACTATCACCAAAGAAGAAAACATACAAAAATGAATTCTACATGCTTTAGTAAAACATCTCAATCTTTGAATTAAAAAAAATATCACGTCATTAAAACATTTCAATCTTTGAATTAAAAAAAATATCACTTCATTAAAACACTAAATCTAAGAGAACAATCGAGGCTTGAAAAAGTTTCGTCCGTAAGAATGTCCCCTAAGGTATTGTAGGGCACCTTGAATTTATTTGCCACATCTTGTCTTTTCATTTGCGGATTCTTCTCACTGAACGCGATTATTTCTAATTTTTGCTTCACGCTCAAAGTTGTAAGTCTACGTTTAGGAGGAGCCATTTCAAACAAATCAATTATGTGTCGCTAAAACCCGGAAAAATCGCTATAAAAACAGTCTGAGAGCGAGCATTACAGACGTAACCCAACTAATTTGTAAACAACAATCGGCGAGGAAAATCTTGTGTTGCTGAGGAACTTCGGCAACGAAACTTGTTTACGATTATTCCATCATGTAGTTCATTTCATTGCTGACATTTGCTGACAGATCGCATTTTACCTATTTTACCTTCTGCGACAAGTGATACTCGCTCAAGAGCGGTAAATACAAAAAGAAGTTACGAAAGGTCTATAGTCGGGCGTAGGCTGTGGGTGCGGTTTTTGAAGGACAACTCAAGTCGGGCGTAGGAGTCAAAGGGTTAATTACATTCACATATAGTCAGAGCTTTTCGACACTGCAGGTGCCATCTTCAAGGCTGACACATTAAATACATAAAACTAACAAAAAGACAAAGATCATATATAGACAGCAAAAAGCACAATAAAATACGTACATGTTGAATTTATGAAATATGAAATAAAGCAATGAAGTCAACTAAGGCTTACACAATTAATTGAAACAGTTAACAGATACAACAGATGTGCAACATATACCGATAATGATTCGATCCTGAATGAGTGACATTTTGAGATCTTTGAAATTGCAATGTTCCGACAGTTTTTTAAGAGTGAGAAGAAAAGTTTCAAAATCTTCACCTTCTTTTTGAACCCCTGTCAAAAACTGGTACCTCGAAAACACTTCGTTTGATTTGGGTTTGACATAGTCATTAAGAGCTGAAGTGAGTTTGGCTACAGTGTCGGCTTCGTCATCAGCCAGATCCAGAGAATTGATGAGCTCTTCTGCTTCAGTACTGATTAGATTTAAAAAGATTGCTTTTTGAACTGTTGTGTCCTTCTTGCTCAGCTCCCACACTGTAATTGGTCCACTGCCTCTTGAATTTTTCCCAGTTCTTTAGGATGTCTTCGTCCACCTCAAGAGGTGATGGCTTGATGAGGAACTCCATCATGTTAAACACATATAGAATTGCAAGGAGCAATAGAAATTCCACGATTGGCGAGGAATAATTTAATTATTTAGAGTTCCGCGATTGGCGAGGAACTGAAGAGGTAAGGTTCTGAATACAGAACGCAATATAACATTTCGAACTGAAACGATATTTTAAACATTTTAAGAAAAGTCCACGACATTTGGTGTCACGAACACGACATTGAAATATGCACTTAGAGTTCCAAGACTAGCGAGGAACTTAGGAGGTAAAGTCCCGAAGACCGAACGCGTTAAAACATTTCAAACTGAATCGATATTCTAAAACATATTGAAAGAAGAGTCTACGACATTTGGTGTTACGAACTTGACATTGAAATAACTTGGCTGCACTTTGCCATTTTAGGCCATCGTTTCGCGTGGTCGGGACGCCGTGTCGCTGTCTTTATCCTGCTGCTCCGCTGTAATCCTTCTTCTTCCGTCATTTTATCCTCGTCACCATGATTTAAGATGATAGTGGGTTGCACGCAATTCTGTAATTTTTTCATTATCGCCTTGCCTTAACCTGCCGGAAAAAAAAACATCACATGGCTGACCAAATTTGGTGCACAATGGTGGGATAATTGAACGAAGGCACGCAGGCTTACCGTTTTTTTTTTACGACATAAGGGTCAAAAGAGTACCGTTGAATGCATCTGACATGCTCCTTCATGAGCTGGCCCGACTTGGAAGAGGTAATGTAAACATTGCGCAGCCTTTTCGCGAGATCGTCGATTTTCTTTTGAACGAGAGGCCTGAACTTACAGTCTTTCTCCTGCATACACAAAAACACCTTCGGCAAAAGTTTTCCTGATGCTGTCATGCCGTACTGGGTCGTGTACAAGTGAGTCACCATGTTAAAGTTGCCCATAAACATCTTGGTACTTTTTTCCTCTAATAACATTTTGGTTTGAGAGGGTCCGATCAACTTTAAAACAATATTCGCACCCTGTTTGATCACTGTTGAGCACAAAATCCGGACTATATCGCCTTGCCAAGTTTTTCCCCTCGAGCATGTAAGAAACAGCGCGCACAACAATTTCCTCATCTTCGAGTTCATTTTTAGATTTGAAGTACTGCGTTACTTTTCTTTGCCGAATTTTGTATTTCCTCTCAAATTTGTCGACCCAACCCTGTGAGGCTTTGAATGGAACACTATCCGCGTTTTCTAATGAATTAACAGCATCGATAGCCCATTGGTGGATGTTTCTGTTTGTGACCGACCGCCTTGAAGCGCGAGCCTATTTGAACTTTTGAAAAGTGAAGTCATTCGCGAAAGTAAACTTTTCATAGTTGGTTTTCTGCAGCCCCGCACTAACTTGGTTTTTCCAAAGCTGCTATTGTCACGCTTTTTTCAAAAACGTGCACTTACTTTGCAACGTCTTCAGCCCCCATTCAGGGTGCAACTCCGTCAAATCCACAACTTTCTTCTTCAGTTCAAACGACGCAACAGCGTTGCACTGCACATTCCTGGCCTCTGAAAAATTAAGGTCATTATTTGCTTTATCTTCGTCCTCACCATCACTGTCCGAATCCCCCAAATAACAGTCGTCTTTGCCGCTCCGTCACTCACGGTTTTAGAGAAAAAGCCAGGACCATCTTCTTTTTCATTGGTTGAAAAAAAGCCTTGATTCAATTTTAAATTGGTGCTGTTCGATCTTGACGCTGAAATTTTCAGCCAATTTCTCACTGATGAGCTTTCCTTGCTCCGAATACTGTCTAATACTGACTAAGTTACACGGCGATACGTTTTGTGGAGAATTAGTTTTATTCGCGAACTGCGTTTTTTGGATGTTTGTAACAATTTTATGTTGGGGGCTCAAAGTATTTTTATTTTGCCAATTTTGGCCTGAAGAACCTCGGGTGCGTATTTTGACTAGATCTGGTCGTGCGAAAGTGGCTAAGAGAGCTTCTTCAAGGGATTTGGGGTTTCTTGTTTCCAGGAATTGTCTATTGGAATCTTTTAGCCTGTTCATTAATCGTCTTAAGACTCTTTTGTTTAAATAGTAGTCAGTTACGTCTTTCATGATGTTTTTATCACTGTGGCATCCTAGTAACAGCTTCGCGAGCATTTGATCGTAACGTAAAATTATTCGTTCACATTATTGCATGGGGGTTTCACTTGGTTTTTGAGACATCACTCCTAACTCTTCAGCTAGAGCAGCTGAATCTCTTTTATCGTCGTAGGCCAGTATCAACCTTTCTCTCAAGGCTGGCTAAGTTTGATAACGTCCTAAGCCAATCTGGTGAGCAAAGTGTAAAAGGGCATGTTGGTATGAAAACTGAGTCTCAGGGGTGTATAAAAACGGGCTGTATAGCCATTCATGGCAATCGGATATTCTAGAAAGCGGGGATACAACGTATGTTTGAATAAATTTATATATTTTACGCCTTACCCTTTACTTCTTCCACTTGCTTGGGACGAGTTCCTTGATTGACATGTCCGGGAGAATCGACACCTCGTCGATTGTTTGGAGCACCTTCTTCTGCAACATATGGATCAGGGGTTGGTCCTCTCATTGCCATGCCATCGTTGCCCTGTAACCTGCGTGGCGCCAGTAATCGTCATGTTGTACACTCCTCAAGTTTGCAGTCCTCATTACGCTGACCGTCACCAGAAAAGCGGCATCGACGGGCGCCGATATGAACTGATGCAGTTTCCGTGCGCGTGTGTACGAGATATTTTGGCAAATTCTGCCATCGCCACCTTGAATAATTTTCTTTGCTGTGAACCGTTTGAATATGTTTTCCTCTAAGTTGGAAGCATTGGAATAATCTTGTGATTCCAATTTTGCATGTGCTGTTGAAGTAGTTGCACGCATGGATGGCGTGGATGTGGTCTCCATGCGTGGCAACGATTTCTGGACATTTGCTGGAATTGCCGTAAATTCCTTTAAGAATTGATTGAGCCTGACTGCCAAGATCCTGAGTGTGGCTGATTCTGGTGAAGCGGTCTTTCGTCCTCCCTGTGCCTTCTGTGCCGGGGATCTGGGCGTTGTCCGCCGTGGTGCTCACTGCGCCGTCTGTCCTCCTGTTGGTCCGTCTGGTGCTGTCTTGCTCTAGCGCGCGACCGACACGCCGCTATCTCAAACTTGCGTACCATCCAGGGTGGTAGTGCTTTGGAAGGCGCCTTGCCCAAGTATTCCTCCACCAGGCTCTCGATCATCCAAGCTGGGGTCTGGAGCTTGGCGTCGGCAACCTTGATGACGATTGGTCGCCTAGTAGAACCTTGGGAGGACCAGGGACACAGCGTGGAGGATGGAGAGGCTTCAAGGTCTCAAAGGTGGTAAAATAGTTCTGGATCCACAGTATTATGCAGGATAAAAAAAGGATACTAAATGATACTTTAACAAAAAATTAGTATTTAATAATAATGAAAATGAAAAGAACATCATAAATAAGTAAAACAAGTGGAACTCGAACAAAAGCGAGTCCATGAGGCGCATTTAGTGATTATATCCACAGAATGTATGCAATTATACTTGACATCCAGATTTGCTCGATGAGCTGTTAGATGAGCTGTTCAATGAGCTGCTTGCGGAGCTCGATGTGCTTTCGCTGCTTTCCTGGAGGGGCACATGGGGCACATTCGTGGGCTTAGACCTGGGAACCAAAAGAGATGACTGTGATCACATGCTGGCGCAAAAAAAGACAGGTGAGAGAGAGGGGGGGGGGGAACCTCAACCACTCGGGGAATTGAACATTTGAAGAAAAAATCAGTTTCTGAAAAACAGAAAAGGTAGCCTCATGCATGAGAGAAACTATACAAACTGTACCCAAAAAATTATGGGCCTCATAAAAAATGAGACTCCCCCTCAAGCCCCTTTCCAGATGAGGTTGTCCTCCCAGACTTTTCCCATTGAGTGTCCAAATTAGTATAACGCGAGGTACAAGAAATCTTAAAACTAACCCTGTCCTGAACAAGCAGTTCATATAAATCATGAAATTAAACGGCACCCTAAGACAGATTCAATGTTGCTGGCTCGGAAAAACATTTGTCAGCAAATTTTTGCTTGAGGCAGTAAAGATTTAGCGTGACTTACGTTTTATTTTCAAATTTCAATGCCTCCTGGGAAAACCATCGGTTGACTGAGCGCTTGATGTCATCCTCGCTAACATGGCATTGATGAATGAGCATCGCAGCATCTGAAAACACAAATAGAGCAGAATTTGCTGTAGAAGATTGAAGATTTAGACAAGCAATACTTATTTGACGTTCACAGACTCGTGACAATGACTCTACAGCCATGTATATTACTTAACACAGGTTACAAATTGTACGCTCCCTTTTAATTTCTTATTTCTAAAAATTTATATTGAAAGTTTAACGGTCGCAAAATACGCTCGATCATGCGATCCGTGGATCACTCCTCCAGAACCGAAACCAATTTTCAGGAAAATTTCGACGATTTCTTGATCTTTTCGACTTAACAGGAGACGGTTGGAGCATTTCTGACGGAAACATGAAGTGTTCAAAAGGAAGAGAGAGAGAATAATAATAATAAAACTGTTACAGCTCCCCTTTTACATTCATACGCAGGTTCAAAATGCTTACCTAATGCTCACCTGGAGGTGACTGCTCTACGAAATTCTTCACTGAGTCTTCTTCCATGAAGGTTCGAGCCAATTCCTTTGGTTCGTATCTGTCTAGTTGGGTTTCCTCCCCTTTTTTCTTCTGGGTTTCCATCTCCCAATAATTCATTCAAATCCTCAAATGCATTCGGCTCAGTATTCGATTCATTCCATAGAAGGACTCTTTGATCAACTGCTTCCATAAGAGGAAAAGGTGAATTTTTGTTAAGTTACCAATATGTCCACTGTTTATCACAGCTTGAATATTACAATCAACAATCAAAAAAATAATTTTTACCAGAATTAGGTGGAGATAAAATAAATAAAGTATTTTTTTTAAAAGTTTTTTTGTCCAATATACATGTCAAATTATTTAAAAAATCCATTACGTTATCAGAACCAAATTGGTGAATTAAAAGAGAATCTGAAATAATAACTTTACTTACTAAATCTAAAAATTGATTGCCTGGGTCAATAGAATCGTAAGAAAGGTTTTCAAATTTTATCATTAATTGGAATTGAAACAAAGTACGTAAATTCATTTTATTTATTTTCATTAAAAGGCAATCAATATTCACTTGGACAAAAAATGTTAGGGTCGTAATAACGCTACTCTGATTCTAACCATCGTTCAGTTTTAAATATTCTACTAATTGGAGTAATTAGAATAGATGTTAAAAACTTTTCTAACCTTTGGCCTTTTGATTGCTTTTCTGGGTCACCGGAATCTTGCATTTTTCCTCAAACGCCCGTTTGCAGGTTTCCTGAACAAACTGGGCTGACCGATCCCTAGCATTGGGTACAACTAGTGAAGCCCGCTATTTGGCGTGCACCTACCAGGAATCCCTCTCCGGCTTTTTCATTGCCTTCAGATCGTAATACTCCAGTTTGATCAGGACCCCACCCTTGTTCGCCCGGACTCTCGCATTTGTATAATCTGCCGCGCTTTCGTCGATAAAGACACTGAGAGGGACCTGAACATCAAAATCGGGGAGATCGAGGTAGACACCCTGCATGTGCAAAGGGCTTATACGTCAATATTGTGTGCAGAAGACGAGTTAACATCATTCACCTACAACCACCTATCAATCACTCCCCTTTCACAATGGTGGCAGAGGGGTGGTCTGAGGGAAAGTTGAAATTGGGAAAAGTTGCCATGGGAATCCATAATTAATAGGTGAGCATATGGTTTAGGGGTACAGGATTTACTTCTCCCTACTTATTGTTGTCAATCTTCGACAGTTGCACCAACTATTACACTTTTAAAAAATGTTGTCTGTAAAGCAAATAGTTCCGCTTGCTCGCTTAAGGTTTTATGACTTGCTGTCTAAGCGCTTACCAATCACCATGATTCCTCACAAGGTGAACAGCCTTGTAAGTGAAAGAGATGATAAATGCAGGACCATGTCTTTTCTACAGAGAATAAATTAACTGCATACAAATTCAAAGATCAATTGGTTTTTTATTTCTGTGGCTCTGAGTTATGTACATGTATAAAAGTAAAAATAAATACATTATCATACAATGACCTAATCACAGCATGGTCATAAGAGGAGTTCCAAAAGTCTCAGGCAACAGTTGTTGGCTCTAATTCAAATTTTTGTAGAAGGACAAATTAAAAAACTAAGGCACAAAGCATAAGCAATACAATTCATTGTGAAAATAGCAGTACACATTTGTGTGAACTGTTCTGGTGAAAAAAAAATATCAGTGATAAATATGATGAAGAATTGTCAAAACCAAAAAAAAAATAAAAAAATAATGCATGTATGAATGAGAAAGACACTGTTTCTAACTGTTCATGGCTGTACGCCTGCTTTTGGAAAAGAGAGTCGATTTTTCTTTAGGCTAGGCAGATGTAAGTTTTGCACCACTGAGAGTGTCTCGGAATGAAATCTGTTAATTATTGTATACTTATAGTGGTAAAATAAATATGTTGAATCAAAACCATCCTTGTTTTTATTTAATGTTCTCCAAAATGAAAAACAGTCCAGAAAAAGTACTCTTACAAGTTAAAAACATAACATTAATGAGTAGCAAATGGAAAAAATTCTCAGACTTTCCACATATTTTTCATTATTTGATGTAGGATTTGATTCCAAAATGAGGCAGGAGGAATAAATTCACAATTTATCAGGTAGGTAATAGAGCCTGATGAAGATATTCCTAAGGTATGAACATTATGCAAAGACCAACTCCAGCTCCAAACTTTGAGGGCTCAAAACTCACTCTCTACCCAGTTAGATTTAAGTGTAGGTCCTGCGATCTGGAATATAACCTAAAACTTATCTAAGTTCACCCATTTACTTTTGACTGTCTTGAGTAGTCAACAGATCAACATCTTTGGCCCACAGTAGTGCTGCCACCTTGAACAGTAGCTGTTTTTGTGCACGGAAGATGTAAATTTGTTGACTGTGCAGACAGTTAAAAATTAACCTTATTCAACGGAAGTTCCAAGAGCTCTTCTTGAATTCAAGAGCCAGAGTCTAGAAGTTTGCAAAGTCAACACTATTGTGATGATCTGACTCCATAAAATTTTTTAGAAATTACCTCCATGACAAGAGGCACACTTAATATTCATCAAGTACTCAGCTATCTCAGTTTAAAAGGTTATGAAGTTCAAAAACGATACTTCAAATATTTTATCAATTTGTCTAGTTGATACTGTTTCTTGAAATAGGTAGTTAAGTCATGATCAATATTGATACTGTTTTCAAAAATTAGCGTTGATGTTACAAGTGTTCATACTTTCATTCTTTTTGCTTCTCCAGTAAAAGGAAGGGGACGTTTTTGCAATTTAAAAGAAAAAAAAAACAATGCAAACTTTTGTTCTCATACAAATGCAAGGATTTTGACCATAATAATGAAAAAGGAGGATAAAATAAAATTGACATATTAGTTCTTAGAACAAAAAGTTGATTCCTCTTTAATCCTGAGTAATTATCAAAAATAGATCTGAAATCTTTTGAAGAGGAAAAAAATGTCTGAAAAATCAACAAGCTTTATCAATGAGGCCCATTTGAGATAACTTTACCTTTTTTGCTGTATGCATGAAGTGAGGGATTTTGTACTCTGCACATACAGTAAAAAAGGCAAAATGATCTAAAACAGGCTCTGTATACAAAGAAAAAATCAATAGTCAGATCCTAGAAACAATCTTACTTAGAGAATAATACTTGAAAGAGGGTTATTCATATAGGCGAAAAATGTACCCAGCCCGGAATGTACGAAACTTTGTAGGCTGATAGTACTAGTTGAGAGAGGCTTATCCCTAGCTCCGTTTTTGCAGGAACCCCAGGGAAACAGCGTTGCCATTTTTTAAAGTCGTAACCTTCAAACATCCATAACTTTCGCAAAAATGCAGTTACAGAGCTCGTATTTATACCAAAAAACGCAAAAAATTACGTTCTATCGACCTATCCAAAAGAAATTTTAATTTGACTCCACTGTTGCCACGCTTCGGTCATTTTTTTAATTTTCGTAATTATTTAAAATCACGTTACCGCCTAAAAAAGTGTTTGCGGTTGGTGGGGATTGAATAAAAACCTGTCGGAATTATTGTTCGTTCGATTCCGCATCCATTGATATATTATACTTTTCTGAGAGACTTAGGGAACACGAGTTATAGCGATTTGAAAATTCGGCAACACGCCCGACGCCCGATATTGACGCTCGTTTCGGTACGTTTCGCGACTCCGTGTTAAAGCAAAACGCCTAGACCAAGCAAAATTCGAAAAGTCAGCCCATGATTTGCACTTTTTTGAAACTTTTACACGATTTTTAAGAATTCAAGTAGCGGCAGTGTTGCCGGTTTTCAATGAAAACCACCGCTGCGATCACAATTTAAAGTAGTACTCATTTAATCACGTTCAGCTAACCTAAACTGACCATTTGCGACATGGTGTTCACAACATTGCCTAATTTCCGTCGGAATTCGCGTAGAGGCGGGGTTGCCAGTTTTCATGGAAACCGCCACCGCAATCACATAAAAAATGTATTACTCATTTAATCACGTTCAGCGTTATTCTGTAGTTGGAATTGTTTATTTATCGAATCGATGGTTTCTGCTATCTCTCTGCAACGGCGGTGGTGCCCGACAGTAACGAGATATCGAAATTTAAGCCCACAAATCACTCAATTGGTCCGATGAGTAGTTTTGGCAGGGGACCTAGATCCATTGCTCTTGATCTCTATACAATATCGATATCTCGTTACTGTCGGGCACCACCGCCGTTGCAGAGAGATAGCAGAAACCATCGATTCGATAAATAAACAATTCCAACTACAGAATAACGCTGAACGTGATTAAATGAGTAATACATTTTTTTTTGTGATTGCGGTGGCGGTTTCCATGAAAACTGGCAACCCCGCCTCTACGCGAATTCCGACGGAAATTAGGCAATGTTGTGAACACCATGTCGCAAATGGTCAGTTTAGGTTAGCTGAACGTGATTAAATGAGTACTACTTTAAATTGTGATCGCAGCGGTGGTTTTCATTGAAAACCGGCAACACTGCCGCTACTTGAATTCTTAAAAGTCGTGTAAAAGTTTCAAAAAAGTGCAAATCATGGGCTGACTTTTCGAATTTTGCTTGGTCTAGGCGTTTTGCTTTAACACGGAGTCGCGAAACGTACCGAAACGAGCGTCAATATCGGGCGTCGGGCGTGTTGCCGAATTTTCAAATCGCTATAACTCGTGTTCCCTAAGTCTCTCAGAAAAGTATAATATATCAATGGATGCGGAATCGAACGAACAATAATTCCGACAGGTTTTTATTCAATCCCCACCAACCGCAAACACTTTTTTAGGCGGTAACGTGATTTTAAATAATTACGAAAATTAAAAAAATGACCGAAGCGTGGCAACAGTGGAGTCAAATTAAAATTTCTTTTGGATAGGTCGATAGAACGTAATTTTTTGCGTTTTTTGGTATAAATACGAGCTCTGTAACTGCATTTTTGCGAAAGTTATGGATGTTTGAAGGTTACGACTTTAAAAAATGGCAACGCTGTTTCCCTGGGGTTCCTGCAAAAACGGAGCTAGGGATAAGCCTCTCTCAACTAGTACTATCAGCCTACAAAGTTTCGTACATTCCGGGCTGGGTACATTTTTCGCCTATATGAATAACCCTCTTTACAACTAAAATATATGGGTAAGTCCTTAGTTTTTATTTCCATCCTACTTTTACCCTTTTCGCCCTAGAAAAAAGTGCTTGGAAGAGACATTGAAAGCAGGATAGGAATTAGACCATTTCATCAGTTAAAATAATCCTCAAGGGTTCATGTACAATGTAACCTTCACCTGGAATCTTTAAGAGATTAAAATTATTATGGCAAAAATAAAAATGGAAAAATTAATCTATATAGATAAATATTACGCACACAAAAATTGGAGTGAAGTAAATATCTTGTTAAGTAAATACTGGGTCACTTAAGACTAATGAGTTTATGTGAATACATACTTGTATGGTCATGAATCGACGACAAATGATCTTAATCATTGGTAAGGTATAAGTATTCGACAGATGTTCCTTTTTGGACGGAATTATTATTTTACAGTTTCAGAACTGTAATTCAACATCACATAAAATACAACAATAAAAGTAAAAAACAACCTGTACATGAATATAAAGTTCAAATCTTATATAAAAAATAAACAGGTCAAATATTTGCAGTTCAAGAAGGCAGCTTAGTCAATATAAAATAAAATTAGAAAAAAAAGGAATACAATTATTGTTGCAAATTGTGCGTTTCATGTGTATTAAATAAGTGTTGATCATGATCATGGTGTGTCTCATTTATCTTAAGAGGCTAGATAAAGAGCAAAAATTGTTGCTCACAGCTAAGAGCTTTAAGCTACAGTAGGCCGTGCTTCTAATGTAATCAATGCTCTTCTCAACCCTCCTGTATTCTCATAGTAGAGATTGATCAGTGTTGAATGAAGCAATCTAAGAATAAATTTGATCAATTTATTGTCTCCTTTCAAGAGAATAAGTCGAGGGTTACAGTGATTGATCATTCTTAATCTACAGAGAGAGATCAAAATTGAAGATTAGTTAGATGAACAAATTACACAGTGGAGTAAGTGGAGTAGAATAGTAAAAGGGGCAACCAATGAGATTCAGAACTGGCAAGGTGCATTCTAATTTTTCTGCTTTTTCCCCCTTCAATATTGTTGAGATGACTCAATAAGATGGGAACTGACTTGGAATTTTCAGAACTACACTTATTTATACAACGTAAGTAGAGACAGGGCATAACTTAATGTTTCAAGTATGTCATGAAATTAGTTTTTGGTTTTCCCTGTTGATCAGTTTAACTAATCAAAGATTTTTGTTTAGATGACTGACACTTACTGGCTGTGACATTGTAACTTTGACTTGATGCAAAATGCCTCTGATTAAAATTAATGGTGAATAGGCATAAGTGCTTTTCAAAAAACAAAGCAAATAATATTTTGGTGTAATGTTTTTTTTTTTTTGCTGCTCCAAAAGTTGCAATAATCAAAATTCCACATGAAGTGTAACTGTTACAAAAGATCTACGATATCTAGTTACAAAAAAAATATCACTTTGTGACCACTTTAGAAAACAGTGCATTTTCTAAACAGAGCTATCTGTATGCAGGGATGCAGATTTTTCACGTTGTAACAGTTCTAAGATCGTTCGTGGCAATTGTGGGCAGTAAATATGCATGGTAGGCAAAAAGGAATGCAAGTGTTGATTATATTGTTGATTTTATTACTTGCCTTTGAGATCCAATTTTTCTTTTCAAAAAGTCAGTATTCTGTCAACAGAGTTCAGAAATTTCCCCAGCAATGACATGTTATGAAGGATACTTAAAAATCTCATTAAAATCATTGTGACTGTGGATAAAACCTCTCTAAAACTTCTGTCTGTCAACTTTCCTTCAGAAGTTTTCATTTCACTGAGAAACTTCACACGAACAATAATGTGAGTGCTTCAAAGATATCAACAGAGGCATGCTTATTTCAGACGTTATAACTAACTCTTTGATCCATCCACCTTCCAGTTTTTGCCTTTACCACAACAGTGTAACAACTTTTGCACAAAAGAAGAGGATCATCTCAAGTATAATCTGTATCAAAATCATCTTTGTGATAAACTTGATCGTCTATTTTACATATAAGTTGCTGCACTGTTATGGCAAGTGTAAAATTTGGGAGGTGACTGTGTCGAAGAGTAAGTTAAGATGCCTGAAAACCTTGTAATTTAAAACACCTAAGTACATTCATTGTTTGTGTGAAATTTTATGGTGCATGGGAAGTAAAAAAGTATGAACGGAAAGTGACAGACAGAGCAATAAACGGAGTATTGGAGAGGTACGGTTATCTACAGTCATGATGATTTTGATGAGATTTTAAAGTATCCTTCAAAACCTGTCAGCAAACAGCCTAACCACCACTTGAGGCTGGTATATAAAATTGGCAAACTTACTTTAAAATCTATCCTCGTATTCGAACTAGAGACATTCAATCCGAGCTCATAAATACAAAATCATAACAGTATGCTGATTTGAGTCACAACTTCAACACCCTGTCTTTTGAGTTAATTTTTGGCAATTGCACAGTTTTAGAAGGACAGATTTTCGGCGAATTTTTTGAGGAGGCGCCAATTTTTTTTACAAGTGCACTGCAAAAGTATATCAAGGCTTGAGTGTACATTCTTGGTGATGGTGAAGGCTGAAAAAAAAGTTTCAGCTCTGTCTGTTTTTAGAAGACATTTTGACTGGCGTTACTTCACCCCTTATTTAACTGCACTAGTTTTATCATTGACGTTGCTTTCAATTTGATGAATTTTGGTTTTTAGAAGGCAATAAAAATGATCCCTCACAAGTTACAGTAAAGGGAAGATAAACAAACGTAAGTTCTTAAACTAAGATGTGAAGACAAAAACTATTTGTAAAAAAGAAAAAAAAAACACAGAAATCTTCGATACAGATCAGTCTTAATACATTTACCATATTTACTTATATAAGGGTAGTTCTTGATTTAATGTGCAACCCATTCGGAATGCAGAATATGCCAAATCTTGTGATTTGCAGATTGCAGCAAACACAAGGCACAGTGGGCGGTTTAGGGAAGTTTTTAAAAAGTAAAGATTTTGTTTTTAAAAGAGTTTTCAAAAATTCGGTGGAAACTTGAATACTTTTGTCATGAGTAAATTGTGCTAGATCGCAGAAAGCAGCTGGCATTATGGTATTCTCTGCACTCCTGCATTGCACTATTCTGCCTGCAGCTTTAAAAAAAAGGGATAGTTGTGAGAGCTCAACTCTATCAAGTTCAAATGTATTATTTCCATGAATAATTATTGACTTCAGTTATAACTATCCAGGGCTCATATATTTGAAATGACTGAATGTTGAGCTCCCTAAAAACTTTCAGTTAAAAAATTGGCTTCATATAAACATTTTATGATTTTTTTTAGCAATCTGAATGTCTTAACATGCCTGATTTGCAGTGTAATCACCTACGTTGGAATCTGTAAAAAGCAGAGGATTCTAAAAAGAGGTAAAAAAAAAAAAAAAAAAAAAAAAAAAAAAACTATGGTGGAAAGAAAAGCAGTTGAACATGAAGTTGAGAGGAGAAGTATACCCTGAACTTTATTCCTATCATATCTTCCACATCTAGGTGCAGGGCTGAATTGAAAGGTTATAAGCTAGTGATATTGTTGAGTGATATGAGAGAGCAGACCCTTTGATTCCTTTCTGTGTCTCCTTAGAAATGCTAAATTTCCTCATAGAGAAGGAAGAGCCCCTATAGGCACTTTAATATTTTGTGGCCATTACATTTTCATCCCCAAAATTGAGGTCTAAGTGCAAAAAATATAAAAGTAAATACAGATAACATATCTGGATACAGTCTAGGTAGACAAACATTCAAGCCATTTAAGGTTCAAGATTTGAGTTCGGGAGAATATTCAATGCCAATTTGATTCACCCACTCTTACATTTTTACACATTCACTTTTTTTGTCTCCCTAGCTGAGGAATGTCTAATTAAAAAAGGATCAATCAGTCTACTGCGGGAGGTAACAGATAAAATACAAACAAAAATGCAGTTTACGAGATTATTGTAGCCAGCAGCACATATTTTTGATTCATTTAGGTAAAGAAAAATCCAGATACTGGAGGCTAGGTACCTGAATGGAGTCTAAAAGAGTATTTTTGCAAATAGAATAGAAGCAGCAACCACAAAAAGTGTTGGCATTATTGAAGAAGAAGAGTTGCATCCATCTTTAGTATTGCATGTGCAATATTCGATAAAAATATTAAAGGAGCCAGTTCTCATCAAACAGTACCGTTCATCACCTCCGATCCCTGGTTCTCCAAGGTATGCACAGCTTCGAATATACCTCCATTCTCCATTGACTAAAACCAAACATAGGAGAAGAAATGATAAGAAAATATTGATTAACAGAGCTTGGGGTGACCTCCCAGATATGGAACATGGGAGCAGAAGAGTAACACTGCTTCAGAAGCATAAAAAGTACGAGTGTCAATATAATTCAGTCCAACCATTTTGCTCAATCAATTTTACGTACCTAATATTTCAATTGAATTTTACACACAATTTGAAGTGCGAAGCAACCCAGAAAATAATGCTTGGCTTGGACTCTGCATGGGAAATGTTTAGGAGAGGGGGAATATCATCTTATCATTTTCCTGTTTCCATTAACAAGCAGTCTGTCCTTTCTTTATTCATTTCGTTGTAGATAACATTATCCCTATTAAGGATCATACCAAGTCTCTTATAAACGGATTGTCCAGAAAGTAAGTTTACATATTCAATATCTCCTAAACTAGGATAGACAAGAGAGAATCTGTAAAGAGCCTTAAAAAGCCACTACTCTCAGCTTTCTAACACATTGCAGATTTTTAAACTTGATTCAAAAGAACTCTAGAAAAGTGGGTTTTTGTGAGGCCACTTCCTTTGCACTGATTTCATAGGAAGGTGGGTTCAGAAAAATCCAATTTTTTCCCTTAAGTTCTATTGAATATAATTTAAAACTCTATATTTTGAAAGAACGCTGAAAATAGTGGCTTTTTAACGCTTTTTACAGATTTTCTCTCTATATCCTATTTTAGGAGATATTGAATAGGTAAACTTACTTTCTGGACGACCCTCATACATTTCATTACAATTTTGCAGCAGCTCACTTCAAACTTTTATTTTTCATGATGAAATCGATATTTTTGATGCTTCTGGCAGCACCTTAGAGTGTTTACTTAGAAGCTGAATTTAAGGAGTATAGCAGATTTGCATGTTTCTCACAAGGGATGTTTAACGTCCACAAAAATCTTTTTTGTTTGGGAGTTACATGTTTTTTCATCTACAGCATGGTCAAGTGTTGACAAATAATTCAATTCATTATAATTTTAGTCTGCTTTCTGAACTTCAAATAATTTTATAAAAAATACTGAAACTGCATGTAAAATTTGACTAGCAGACACATTTTGCCAGCTCTCCCTCCAGAATCCTCAGGGCAACTTTCTTGTGCGGGTCTCCAAAATTTTATTGATTAAAATAATTTAACTACATACTGCTGTTTTTTTTGCCAATGGAGCTATTTTTTCACAATGGACCACTAGACAAGGTTCGAATTTAAGCCTTGTGATACATGTTTCTTTACCAAAATTTCACGTAAGACACGATGCGCACAACGAAAATTACCAAAATCAACTTCTTACGAAGATATTTAATGATTCTTGATGCGTGAATTCAAACCTCTCGTCTTTAAAACTCAATGCTCTACGTGACTCACATCGCACGCTAAACGTTATCATGACAGTCTCTGCGATATAAAAATCTGGCAACCTCAATCTTGAGGCTTTGGCTCAGCTGTAGCAAATTGCTTATAGTTTGAACAACTCATGGTGGAAAATGAACATTGCTCGATTGAGAGGCTTGCTGAAACCGTTGCAGTGCACGATTTGACTCACGTAGAGCTTTGAGTTTCTTGTGAGCGGGCAGTTCAAATTCCTCGTAGCCTATGTGAAATAAAAACATTAATATCTCCGTTAGGAGTTGGTTTCAGTAATTTTCGTTGTGCGCGTCGTGCTTCACGTGAAATTTTGGTGAAGAAACATGAATGAGGATGCTGAAATTCGTACCTTGTCTAGTGGTCCATTACGTAAGGGAACAAATATAGGAACCAGGAAAATATAGGACCAATTATAGGAATTACTCAACCTATTGCAGATGCAATGAAATTAATTTCTAAAGAAATAAATATAAATTGCAAATCAAATTTTAATATATATTCCATAGTACCAATACTTGATATTATTTGCTCTTCAGTAACATGCATTGTTTTTCCGTTTAATTACTTGTTTCAGTAATTTCATAAAAATATCAGTTTTAATAATGTTAAGATGTAAAGCATTTAATGTAGTAACTATTATTTTTCCTTTTTTTTTCTTTTTCTTTTCTCATCATATGTTGAGATAAACGTCAATCTCTGATTGGTACCAAATCAGCACAAATTAAAAGATTAATGCATTCAAATGGCACCGATGAGCATTGACAGAAAGAAGATTTGATTTTTATCTTAACATACGATGAATGAGCTCCAAGTAGGGTCTGACAGTATAAATGTCATACATATTTTCCCTCACCTTTCTGACGAACTTTTCGACACATGGTAGACTTTACATTTGGAATGTGATCTAGGTATGGTTGCTCTTTGCAATCTGTGATTGGTAGTGTTGAATTGTCAAATGGATCTGCACATTTTGGATCGTTGTCGGAGCGGCACACCCAACACTTGATGCCATCCACTGTTGATAAAGAACGAAAGAAAAATATTAGAGTGAGAAAAAATTCATTGAGTTCAAAACATAATTTAGTCTGCACCAAAAGAAAAAGAAAAAAAAAAGGTTTCACTGTGATTCCAAAAATTGATTGTAATCAATAATGAATGTGCATTACGCATATGCATACTTAATGCTTAACTACTATAGTCCACTGCAACGATCATACTAAAGTATCTGTGGTCTTTGTTTACAGGAGAAACGCTGGAGTTTTTCCAAAAGCCTCCTTGAAAATCCTATTTGTCCATGGGTCCTACTTATGTGCTTGGCATTTTAATTGAAAAACTTTGATTTTTCAATGAATCTTTAAATAAATAAATCTAAAGACAATCTGTGATTTCTACTACAATCTACTTGACCAAGCACAGCTATTGATACAGGATGGAACGACTAAGTTGTAATTTACTTAATTTATGATCTGAGTCTATGAAACTCTGGAGCTATTCCATGGCTGCGGTCCCAAAACGTTCACAATGTCTGCTCGTTCGCAGATTATTTAGTTAGCTTACTCGACAACGTTGAAACTTACTTGAGGACGTTGAATCATTGTCAAACAGCTTCATTTCTGGACAAGGTATGTAATAGACCTATACTTCCTGCAAGATTGCAAATAGTTGCATGATTTTTATTCATCATGATGGTCGTCAGAATATGAGCAACTGACTTCAAAGTCGAAATAAGCTGCAAGATCTTCAAGAAGTATGCAATATTTAAACGTATAGTACCTGACACAAAGAGTGAAAACAGTTCTAGAGACAGTACAGCTAGGAGTCCAAAGCTAGCGACAGAACGCATTTTGAAACAGAGACTGGATATGCAGAGATCGGAGGGAGATTATCAGTTGAAAAATTTATGCTGTTGCTCTTCTTTGGAATTCCTGGTGAGACATAAATAGATGATAAATAGAGATGACAGGCACAGCAAGAAGCAAAAAATTTGTAGAATAGTTCATAAGTTTGAATTTTTCTTGAAATTATGAACAGCACAGCAAACCGACATGTAAACACGCTCATCAACCACACCTTGTCAAACCTCCAAAGATTACAGGAGAGCAATAGGGAGCCAAGCGTGACGCTCAGTGTCAGTTGTACTCGTGATATTGAATTTTTAATTAGTCTCTCGAGTCTCGACCGGTAAAATTTTGGTTTTTAAGCGAAAATTTTAGTCAAGAGTTCAAGATCCTATTCGCCACGTTCACGTTGTTGTTCACGTTCGCCATAGTTCGACATCTATAATCTCTGAGAAAGGGTAAACAAATGACGTCATTTGTCAAGCGTTGTTTTAGTTATGTTGTTAGGTTAGGTTTCTCACCGATTAAATCAAGTTACTCAGAAGGTTTCATTTCTTTCTTTTGTGAATATTAAATATTACCATCGGTTTTTCTATCTAGTATATTTTTAGATTAATATTTTGTTTCGCTATTATCTGACGCATTTTGACTGTGCGGTCACATGAAAGTTTATTATCTAATTGAGCGGCATATTTTTGGGCTTTTCTTCACTCCTGACAGCCTCGCTGCAGTCAGGACTGTGACATTCGATTTTTTTGAGTGAATCATCTCCACAAAGCTTTCACAGGTCAGTACAGGATGAATATCTGCATTATCTGCTCTCTATTTTTAAGGTTGCTTTGTTTTGATTTAACCATCCTCTTCTGTTGGGTCTTCTGCCCACTCTGTGGTTTTACGAATTTTGTTGCTAGCAGTCTGCGAACCAATAAGTGTACTTGTTACTTATTTAGTATCACATTTTATTGTGGTTTGCACTTTTGTAATTTGACGAGATGTTTATAAAACGGCACTGGGTGGTCCAAGTATCAAATTTTCTACTCATCACACATGACCTCAGAACGATTTTGTAACCTAACTTTCCACACTTGAGTGCGCAAGTTGCACCTGGAGAGAAACTAAAATCCTCTTTACCTCTTATCTCAACGATGCCATCTGAACTCATGCCTGAACTAGTTAGTTGCTTGTCAACAACTCAAGACCCTACAGAGATTTACTTATCCCAACTCATCGCGCACTAGTTCTATGTTCTTCAGTATCCTTAGAGGCTAATCATTTATCCACGCAAGTTTTAGAACTCTTGCATAAATAGTAAGTTCTGAAGTTCAATCATCCCTTGGATTTTCATTTTGAAAACTAAATATAATTTTGAAACTTCCTAACTTGTCACAATACCTGTTTCTCATATACTTCCCTAGTTATTTTGGCAATTCAAAAGTTCTAACTGCAATACTGGATTCTTTTACGTCACCTAATTGGATCTGGCCCCATAAGCATTCCCTTAAGTACCTCGTTTATTTCTGTAAAGGTTTTACCAAAGAAACCATAGACATTTCATGCTGCTTTACAACATTTAAGGCGATGCAAAATAAGTTTGCCTTTTCAGAGTGTGACAGAAGATCTGCCATCTTGATTCTTGTAACTACTTTTAATGCTTAACTAAAGGCAGCGGATCCTCTGTCGCTTTTTAGAGTATGTCAACTTTATGATGTAGACTTTCCCTTGGTTGAAAACCTGAAAATTTAGACCTGCCACCAGCTTTCATTTTCTTAGGGATGAATTATGAATTAAAGAAGAAAATCATTCCAGAAGTTCTATTTGTTATGTGCCCTTCTTATTTTTATATGCAAAAGTTGAGATGTACAATCTGGACAATATTGGTCTGTGCTTTGCTGTCTTGATGTTAAAGTTCTGTCTGCTAAACTTTGTCAAATTATGGATGTTTATAAAATAATTTATTTACCCCAATTAGTTAATGGATTTCATCTATCATAACTTTTTCCACCTCACTGCTCTATTCATTGTGCAACTTTGTCAAGCTATCTAATTTGGACTAATAGAACGTGATTCTTTTTATCACAGGAATTAGGAATGATGAGTTCTGAAAAAGCAACGTCCTATGGAAGTAATCCGTTAGAGCAGTTTTTACTTCTTGCTAAATCTGCTAAAGGCAGTGCTGCAGCAGAATTGGTGAAAGAAGTCCTTGGTGCTCCTGGAATCAACACTTTTGGAGAACTAATGGACATGCCGAACATACAAGAACTGAAAGATGGACCGAATGCCAAGTACTACAATGCTTTGTATATTTTCACCCATGGTACTTACAAGCAGTATTTGCAGAATCAAAGTGAGCTTCCAGAACTATCACCTCCCCAAAAGAAAAAACTACAGAATCTAACTCTAGTTACCCTAGCGTCTAAAATGAAATGCATCCCATATTCACTGCTTCAAGAAGAACTCGACATCCAGAATGTTAAAGATCTAGAGGACTCAATTATCGAGGCCATTTATGCTGACATAATAGTCGGAAAAATGGATCGTAAAAATTCTGTTCTAGAAGTAGATTCCACCATAGGTCGCGATGTTAGGCCAGAGGAATTAGATTCAATTGTAAATACATTGAAAAATTGGTGTGAATCTTGCGAAACTATGTTATCCAGTATTGATACTCAAATCCGAAACGCAAACAAAGAGAAAAACCGGCAACTCACCCATAAAAGTATGATTGAGAAAGAAATTCAAAATATTAAAATAACATTAAAGTCTCAGAGTAAAGACACTGATGAAGCTATGACTTCTGATTTTCGAGAAGCCTCTGCCCAAGTTGGAGATAAAGGAAGAAAAAATCTCAAATTAAGAGTCAACCGAGGGGCTGGAAAGTTCTGGACTAGTAAATCATGAATGTAACAAATTTTTTTGAACAATTTATTTATTCTTGAAACCTTTTGTCAAATTGACATGTGACCTGGAATTAAGAACTATGAAAAAACTACCATCAATTGAATGGAGAATTTTTTCCTTCAGTCGAGTCTCTTGAATTTCCTTGAATGTCCAGTATTTTTGCTCGCTATAACTGGCTCCCTTGTAGTATTAAGTTGTCCTCCCTTAAATTCAACCAACCAAATTATGAACATAAATACTTTATTCTTGATTTTTTCAATCATTTGTAAGCTGGTAATCTAGAAATAAAGTTTTATACTTGTTCCTTTTTCAGTCATGGCATATTTCTATCCTTTTTTTTCATTGATCGAAAGAACTATTGGGGGACATTTGGGACTAGGCCTGCCACATCCTATCTCGGGCCGTGGTACCAGTTTTAAGGTCCGGGCCCCATGACTGCCAACAACCCCTGCTCTACACCTAATTTTTTAATCTTGAAATCTTTTCGCTCGAACAAAAATCGCCACCAGCACTTTCGTCCCCGCAACAGGGCCTGGTCCTCAAACTGGGAGAACATAAGCCCCTGCCTCTGATGCTCCTACCATGTTACCTCTTGTTGAAGAAGACAATCAGACACAAAAATTTAAGTCTCAGTCCGTCATTGACTCGCGAACAGAAGACTTGAGAGTGCATCGTTGCATTGAAGTTCAAGAACATTGAAGTCAAGAATGCCCAGACTAGAGACTCTTAGCATCAAACGACGAAAGAAAATGAAACTCATTGTTTTTGAAAATTTATTCACCTTTTTCGAAATTTCCAGGATAAATTTGTTCTTTTTCCTTACGAGACACGGGTTACGTGTGAATTTGAAGTAGTGTGTTACGAGCACCACAGGCCCCTCCGAGGTCTTGGCCCCGGTACCAGGAGCCCAGTGTCCCCACCCTTGTGGCAGGCCTGTTTGGGACATTCTTCCTGGCTCTCTAATTATTCCTGCAAATCAATATCAGTGTCATGGAATATCAATCGGGGAATTAGTTGCCAACCTGTACCACCAGAGTATGTTCCCTGCCCTCTGTTTTTTCTTAGGTGTCATCAATTTTTTAAACATGCTTTTTCGAAAGGAATCCAATAAGGGTGTGTGCAAACATCTAGTTCTGTTACAGCATCTAACTGATAACATTGAACCAAGTTAAAATTATTACAAATTACAGTAGGGAAAAGACTAGCTTTGGGAGCATTCCTTTAAACAGTCTATTTATTCCAGAAATTCTCAAAGGTTTTTCGAGTAAAAAGAGGTTTCATCAGCAAAATTACGTATCTTGGTTATAACGTCAGTTTCAAAGTCTATTCAATGTCTTGATTCTATGTAAGGTTGAAATAAAGGAAAAAATGTGTGCACAATTTTTACGTCCGTAAAAAAAATAAACCTATTATTTAATCTTCATTGTTACAAATTATACAGTAAGATTCACAGATATAGACTAGCAGCAAAAACAATATCTCTCTTAATCAATCGAATGCCCTCACTGAACTTATTTTCTAGATCTGTATTTCCAATTCCTTTGGCTGCTTGAACTAATTGTCGAAGAATTTCTTCTAATCTTCTCATGGCTCTGATGATACTCCCTGCAAAAAAAAATCAAAAAATTTGCTGATAAACGTTCACAGGAGAAAAAGGCATTTTGCATAATTTCTGTGGAAAGCTTGCCATAGCTAATACTCATTGAGTGTCTTGTAAAGGCTGGGTTTCTTATATTTCAGAAAATATCCTTTCATTGTGGATTTTTGGTCTACTCATTTTCATGGCAAAATTGTGGTTTTTTGGATAGATAGTCAGTATAATAATAAAAAATAGTTCTTTCTTTTTGTTCTAAAAAAAATTAGCCAGGCATCCATTGATCAGGTCTATTATTATGCAATGGTAAATTTTACGCAAATAGCTAGCATTGCGTCAAATGTTATCAACAATAAGTCAGGAAACCGAATTTTTAAGTCAACTTGAGAGGAATTCAGAGTTAAATGGGACTTTCTGTTGTTCCATTCAGCAGTAGCAAACTTTGTGGCCGAATTGCGTCAGATGTCTTGCAGCATCTGATGTAACTTAGAATAAAAGAATGCTACTAATTAAGGAACAACAACAGAACATGCACTCTAAAATCGTTAGGTCATGAAGTAAAGGAGGAGTTTGTCCTGCTCTTTTTACAAAACCTAACCCAGAGGCAAAATCATAAATCAGCCCGCTCAATTTTATGCTTGTTAGCGGAAACCGCAACACTACTGTTGAAATTCTTGATTGCTGTATATTGATTGTTACACTGAATCTTGTCTTGCGCCAAAGCCTTCGGCTGAAGCTTGAAGCTTGGAGTGCGCTGATGTCATGGAGTGAGGGGGGGCATAACACTTTTGGTTCATTAGGCTTCAGTACGGTGTCAAGCGTAGAACCAGCAGAGTGGGGTAATGACAAATGGACCGCGTTAAACAGAAAGGAACCAAGCCACATCAGCTACTGCCAAATTTAATTGGGCAATTTAATTTTCTACATGAAAACGGTTGTGCGGATTTTCGTGCAAATTTCAGTGAAAATTCTCCATGGTAGGAAGGAAATTCCTTAAAATTTTCAAAGAAATCCGAACAAACGTTCTCTCGTAAAAAATTTAATTGCCCAGTTAAACTTGGCAATAGCTGATGTGGCTTGGTTCCTTTCTGTTAAACTCGGTCCAAATAGCACATTTGCTTTTTCTCAATTTGATACGGTAAAACACATTAAACAAGCAGGATGGGTAAGAAGAAATTAATGAGCAAGAGGTAATTTTTGGTTTTCGTAATGTAATGTAGCCTTTGATACTGTTGGATTGATGTGTGAAACAACAGGATCCGGCAATTTTAGCAACTTTGAGGATTTTTTGGATTAAGCAGGCTCCAACTTAGTAAGTACGTTTTGATCAATTGTTAAGGGGACAAATCTTAATTCAGTCCGTAAATGAATAAACTACAAATCTGTGGATGCATTTTCACAGATTTGATAAGCGGACAGAGAGAAGGATTTCGCACTCAAAGGCGAAGTTGCAATATTTTATAAAGATTCACCTTCGAATATGTCCGTCATTTGTAGTACGTCAATGAAGGATGCTCCTTTACACCAGGCATAACACACATCCATTAGAAAAGGCTTGAATTGTTCAACATACTTTTCCACATCCACTGGAATTTTGCATTCTACCGTTACTTTTGCTATTCTCCTTGCCATTTCCTGAGGAAACATCAGAAAAAGTAAGTTTAATTACACGAGGTGCATTAATGTACACATATGGGCATATATAAGGCTTTCACAGCAGACCCGAAAGCCATCCGACACCTAATCGCCATCCTTGCCTGTTGAAACAAACTTCATCTGGCAAGTTCCATCCATGATTTCCCTGGGCATCTCACTACAAACTAAAGCTTCACCATCTGTTGATACCATGAGTACATTTCTTTGTGAAACTTTCAGAGATGAATGAATCTGAAAAACTTAGAATTTTTGATAACAATAGTTGAATATTCACTGGCCCAACATTGTTTTCTTTTTAGGCTTTGATGCAAATCAGCTTGTTATCTTCCTGGATGCGACTCAACTAGAATGCAACTACAGTATTCTGTTCGGAGTTCTTTAAACTAGCTGGTCTAATTCATAGCATTAGCCCTACGTTTCAGGGCCCAGACTCTCCTTCAATTTTATGTCACGGCTTAATATTCTTCGATCAGATTCTTCATGTCACTGCAAAATTCTAAAATTCAGATGCTTCTTTGAACTTGAAAAGTTTTGCACCTCACATGCCCGATACAAAAGGAATGCTGAGGTTATCAAATGCCGTCTCCCAGCCTAGATATTGTCATTATCTACTTCATACTTCATAAATGGAGTAAATATTTTAACAACTAACCTGCATTTGTCTGAGAAGACCTGAAAGTTCAGCTGATCTCTTGGGTACTTCATTACTTTTCTCATCACAGACAAAACAGCTTAAAATAGCAACACATTGAGGAACATCAAGGTCATTAAACATTCCATTGAACATCATTTCAGTCATGAGTAATTCTTCACCACTGCAAAAAAGAAAAAAAAATATCATTTTTAGTACTGACTGTCAAAAAAATTCAGCGCTGCAATGGCACAAAATAAAATGAAAAGGAACAAAATGGAAAAAAGGATAAAATTTGAAACTTTCTAGAATATGCAATTTTCGTTTAAACTACGAGCAGATTGTGGATGATGAAGAATGTATGTGCAATTTAAATGCCAAAATTTCTTTTTACTCACAATTTCTATGGGGCTTTTTTTTTATGTGGATCGCGATGAACATCCGTATTTTTTTATTCCATTCCTCAGCCGTGATCCAAGCGTTTCAGGTGGATCAGGGTGGAACGCTGGATCGCTCTTCCGAAGTGGGGCGAGCTCGTAATCCACTGTGATCCTAACCTAATGCAAGGAAGTTGCTGTCCCCAACAAATCAAAACAATAACAAATCCAACCAAATTCCAAGTTTAGATTTTTTTATCACTTGGAACACTGTGGATCGGTCCGGATCGCTCAGGATTCTGATCCAGTGCGTTCCACTGCCATCCACCCTGATCTGCGATAAAAAAAAAGCCCTTGTAGGCCTTCGAAATGGATTTAAGAAACATCCAACACCTATTAAGTGGGATCTTCAGCTTTTGCAAGATGTAGTCTGGGTCCGATTGATATTTTTCAAATTTTAATCGTTTTAGTGGATTATTTTTTGGAAAATCGAAATTTCAGTCTGTAGATCCATCACTATGAATGTTCGTGCTGCAAATTATCTCCCAAAATCTTAAAATAAAAGGTACTGTTTCCATTTTGCAACCTCTTTCAATGGATCCATATTGGTTGTTAATTGGAAACAGTACTTGTGACTTCGTTTTAAGACTTTTTGAAGATGATTTTCGGCATGAACATTCCTTAATGATTGATCTCCAGACTGAAATTTCTATTTTTCCTGAATAATCCACCTGAAGGTTAAAATTTGAAACAAATCGATGCTACCCAGAGTGCATTGTGCAAAAACAGTATATTCGATTTAAGACTAGGCACGACTAAGGTAAAATAAAATCTGCATTTCACGTGGTTGTGGGCTTTGACCACCCTACCAGACAGCATGCCTGTGTTTAAGGTTGGCTGTACAGGATATGTTTTCTCCTTTTTTAGAAGCCTCCACATCCAATGCAGTAAGCAAGTTTATTTCTTCAGTCATTTTACACGCATCATGTTGGATTTAATTTTGCCAAAGCTTTCAAACGCAATCATTCCTCTTCATTCGTGGCTGAACGTTACAGAAATGAAGAGGAAAAATGTTTAGTGGATGACCTACTATGCAACAAAGGAATTGTCCAAAACTACATGTTCTTGACCCACTATGAGACACCTTCCACTCTTCCTGTTGTGAAAGTTTAGAGCTAGCCATTCAAAAACGACTTGACTAGTTACTCAAAATCAATAAAAAACCAAAATGGTTGCTGTTAGACAAATATACAATACGTTCGGTTTACTAAGATGTTCGGTCTCTTCCGAGAGCTCTCGATAGTTGATTCGGTTATAAAAAAATAATGCAAATAAGACACTAATTGTTAATGATCATTGGAGGAATGAGTGACATTTGTATCCATTGTGATCAGTTATAGACGCAACTTTAGTGGGTGTCCGTTGTGTGAGTTAATGAGGAGGAAAGAGAGATTCTGCACTGCTCATTACGATTCATTTTCATTCTATGTTCCGTTTCATGGGCCCGCTTTTTTTTAATTTAATGAAATTATGCATTCTCTAACGACTTACCTGCTCAACTCACAAGCTATTCTACCTTTCGTTTCAATAATATCGGAGGCATTACAAAATTTCAATCTCCTCAACACTCTTTTACGGCACTTCAATTCTTCCATTTGCACAAGTGACATTGTCCTTTTTAATTCTTGTCGCAGCATTTTCAATTCACTCAGAGTCTGAAACAAAACAAAACTGAAGGTAAGAGACTCTAAATAGATGTAGTAAAATTTGTTTGGAAAGAAAATATTGCTCTGATGATTTGTTTCCATAGTGTTTTCCCTAGTTATTTTCAGGATTTTCAGTTTTAAATACAGATTAACGTATACAAGTGACATAGGCCTCTTTCACTAGTGGGAGGAAACATGATTTCAACTTAATTCATGAAGATTTTAGCCAGTCAGGGGAAATTCTATCCGAAGTTTTTAAAAATGGGTACTGACCACTATACGCGGCTCATATAGTGGAACTGAAATGAAAAAAACATAAAAAACCATTATCTCAAATTCAAATATAATATATGGAGTGTATATATGAAGTATTTGAGTGAGGAATATGATTAGAGCAAAAAAAGCAATTAGTATAGACCTTGCTACAAAACAATCTAGGTTTCAAATATGTAGCAAGGATAAAAATGACTGGAAACAAACCTTCATACAGAAAATCTAGTCTGAAATGAGATCAGGGTCCCATGGGGTCAGGACCAACGGGCCGATCCCGATCATGATCTGCCTGAGCCAACTGCAACCTGCCTCCGCATAACCAATGCATTGCACCAAGGCAGCGCATTGGCCCAAGCCAATTGCAATCTGCCAAGCTGATTTTAATGTGCTAGGACCAATTGAAGATTTTGAAAACTTCGTTCGGTCTTTTTTTCTTATGCCTGCATGTACAAATGGATGATTTTTGTCTGAATTAAATGAATCGGAGTACAAATGGATGATTTTTGTCTGAATTAAATGAATCGGAGTTCTTCATGTTATTTATCACTTTTACCATCTTTCATCCAAGCAAACAACAAGGCATGTATGTTACAAATTTCCCTTTCCATACCCCCCAGAATTGGAGAATAGCAAAGTTTTCAATGAACTATCTTGGTTCTAGTTCTGTAACACTCACTTTACTAACTCACGTTTATTGCCTAATTGGAGAGCTGAAGGGGGCCTAATTGAGCAAGGCACATCCAACAGATTATCAGCAGTTTCCTCTGCGGTTTCATTTTTTACTTGGGGGCTGAAAGATGACATATTTGGAAAGACGATGTGCTTAAAATGAACTTAAAGTCATCAGAACTCTGATAAAACTGCACATCTATCAAATTGACCTGCCTGCATTGTGAAATATACTTTTAGAGATCATTGGTATGACCACAACTCCTTGTGTTTTGTGCAGTTGGCATACTTGGCGGAGCAAGGAGAAAATAAGTACACTATCACGATGAATGTTTTTGCATGTCTGGTATAAGAGATGTTTCTTGTTGTGTACTTATCTGGTTTAAATTGTCCATTTCAAATGAATCAATAATTCTTGCGCCCAAACAAATTGCGATTGGCTAAAAATGCCATATCAGCTCAGGAGGATTTGACTTGCCCAGGCAAAATGCAATTGGCCAGGCAGATTGTGATCGGCCTAAAATCAGGATTTGCTCAGTACAGGCTTCAGTCACTTACCTCAGTTTTCAATCTATAGGCGTTATACATGGTTTCAAGCTGTGGCTTATCGTGCAAAGGATGGTCGAAGAGTCTTTGTTCATAACTCTGAATTCTTTTTACCAAATCTAAAAATGATTCTTCTTTGATGTGCATATCTGTTACAGGATTTAACAGGGGAATATCACCATTGAATCTTTTTTTCACTTCCTGAAAATAAAAAAAAGAAAGACTTATCATACTGCGCACAGGAAAATTCCAAAATCTTCGCTCCCTTTTTATCTCCAAGCTTATTCTTGCATCAATGATACACTTACAATAATGTTATGATTCCAGGAGTCATTGCCTGCCTAAAATGCCTTGCCTCAATGAACATTTACATAGACCTCAATCAAAAATACAACGATATTTAATGAGATTCAGGGCATCAAAGTCATTCAAAATAAACGGCTCTTGTCTTGTAATTCACTTTAATCTGAAAAAAGGGAAAGACAAAATATACATAATGCCCAAATTCTTCTGACGGGTAACAAGAGGAGAGATCCTCAAAGAGATATCTTAAACTTCCAATCTATATGAGTATTTCGAGATGTCAGTGCAAAAATTTTTCTGCAATTTTCATTTCTAGACTTTCAATTTCTGTTTGATACTATGTGATATCGTCACCTTCCGGTCAAAGTATCACAAGCGCCATGCGACATTTTAAAATTTCCATTGTCATTTTATTTTTTTACAGAGAAATTATTCAATGAAGCTGTCCGAAAATTTCACTGAATTTTCTTCGCACTGCCGATTGAATTCAGTGAAATTTTCAGATAGATTCAACCAACAATTTCTCTGTAAAAAAATAAAATCGCGGCGTCAATTTTGAAACGTCGCATGGCGCTTTTGATACTTTGGCCGGAAGGTGACGATATGTGCTTTTGATGTTTACTTGATGTGAATAAATTACAAAAACATAAGTAAAATGCCTAGTTTTTGGCTCATCCCTTGTTCCCTAGCAATTTTTTTTTATATTTTAATTGATCAAAAACTGCCGTTTAACTCACAGGACACAACAGAGACATACTTGAAAACAGAAAGTTTGATTACTAAACAGCAACCTTACCCGAATTGATTTGAGAACTGACTTTCTATTGTCTGGGGGCCTCAGATCTTTTGGATAGTGTATTCGAAGAGAGCTAATTTGAGAGATGACTTTATGAAGTACAGGCACAACTTCCATTTCACCTTGCTCACCGGGAGGACATGGGCGCCTTTCCGTCTTCCCCTCTTTGTCAACTGCAACGTGCAGTAGAACATCAACGATGAGAGTCATTGACGATAGAGCAGGATTTTGCCCAGAGTCTTCTTTGCGGAAGTTGATTATGATACCCCACTCATATTCTTCAGTTTCTGTTTTAATCTGTAAAAAAAAAAAGAAAAAAAAGAAAAAAGACCTGAGAGTGAGCAACAGAAACTACTAGAATAGTTAAATTCAAAACAAACTGAAAGGGTAGTAAAGCTGATTGATTAAAGGAGAGAATTTTCCAACAAAAATTTAATTAAACCTGATTAAAAGCGTAAAGAGCGAAGTACACAATTTTTTTTATTACATTTTATAATGAATAAATAAATTTGAGAAACATAGGTTTTGTGATGTCATGATGCCAAGGGTCATAATTCTTGGTTACACAAATGCACTGAAGTATTCCGTTGCAGTTTTTCTAATAGGTGCTCATCAGTGGCGTGGCGTGAATGCTCGATTATCGATATCTCGCCATTTGAAGCTATGGTAAAGAATCGATTACTAAGATGTTCGCTGCAAACACCCTAATAATCGATCTTTTTCCGTAGGTTTGAGTGGCATATCGATCGATATATCGCAAAGCACGCCACACCACTGGTGCTCATTTTAAAAATCAATAGTATTGTTGAAGTCCTTAATAGACAATTGTTTCTGCGCATAAATACTCCGAAAACTGCTAAAGTCCTAAAGGCTCGTTAATGTGCTGTGGTTTCTCAATTGTCTGAACTAAATAATGCTCAATTACCATCAGATCACTTCAAAGAGCATTAAACATTCTATTGGAGACAGGAGAAATACATTCCTTGATTAGATTAGTGAAAAATGGTAAAAATTTGAGGGGGAGTCGTATCCATACTCACCTTGACAAGTCGGCCGGGTTGTAGGAAAGGTGTTAGATAGACAGGGTTCACCACATAGGTTTGCAAAACTTTTGACAAGTGATCTAATTGTTCTCGAATATTGTAGTAGGAAGCAATCTGAGTTTCATTGGCAATAACTATTGCATCCACTTCTTTTTGCTTCTTTTGAACTTCTATTCGAGATAAACAAACAGGAACATTTTGTTAGAAACATGTGCCATCGAACCTTTGCCATTGATAGTGGTGGTTCACTTCAGATAGGATCAGAATCTTGCTATTTTCAGGTATACAGATACGTTCATACCAAACTTCAGAAACTGAAGTTGTGAGAGATGATGAAAGAGCCTCTCTCAATACCAGAGGAAGTTTATAATTTTAAGGAGAAAGTAGAACTAAAACCTGCTGAAGAGTGATATGAAAGACATTGAACATAATATTAATGCCACTCCTTCAAATAATGTTAGAAACCTATACTAAATGTTTAATACAGTAATTTAATTAATCATGCTTCAACATAAAAGAAGTGAGGTAGGTTTAACGGAGTCCAAGTTAGCACAACTGTTGTCTGTTGTAGTAATTATTTTGGAAGAAAAGTCATTTTTAACACAGGTACTTTTCTGAATCAGAATCTACATCAGCGCATCAAACTCACTGCCATGATCCAACATAGAACTTACTTTCATATAGAACTGGAATACTGGAATTGTTCTGGAACTGGAAGAAACTCCTTTCTAGCATATATTCAGGATTAATTTCCTCAACACGAAGAAGATTTAAAACCATATTATAGGTGAGATGAAAAGCAGAGTTGATAGGATCTGCTGAACCTTGTAGAAGAGCTTTCCCATTTTCTGGACTGACTTTTTCGTCTACCATCAGAATGACTATACCTTTGTCATCAAGACCTCGTCTTCCAGCACGACCAGACATTTGAATGTACTCTCCAGATGTTATCTAAGAAAAAAAAAAAATTATAATTACAACGGTAAAAAACAATGAACTGTATCAATATGCTGAGGAAAAATGATACATACATTTTAAGGTGGCCAAATTTCTCCTGGTAAAATACTCATTTTTGGGAAAATTTTGGAATATTTTAATTTTTCCTTGATGTTTTTAAAGAAATAATAAATATTTGATTGTAAAAAGGATGTGAAAAATTCGAGAGAGAATGTTCAAAGATTTTCCAGAGAATTGAAATTTATCAGAGGAAATTGGACGATGTCATACGGTGTTCTTCCCAAGTACAGCATAATATAAGGACAGCAATCTTTGTCTGATTGAAAGTGTCAGATTAAATCAATCAGCAATTACATCATTGCACTACTTAATGTTACGCATATTGTGGTCTTGAATACCTAGTCTTTAAATCCTGCACTAGCAATAAAAGTTAAAATAGATTAAAGAAGTCAAAACTGAGGTAGAAACTTGGGTGAAAGAATACATAATTGAAAGGAAATGATCATTGATTGGAAAAGAGCAACACACCTAAAGATGTGGTTTGAATTTCATATTTTTTAAAAAAAATTAGTAAATTAACTTTATTTTCGGAACTAGAAAGGTTCAACTGTGTGAAAAAAAGTGGAAAAACCAAAACATAATTTTGGCAAAAAAAAAAAACTTACAGAACGCATTTCTTTGCCATCAAACTTTTGGGAGGCGGTAAAAAGAACAGTACGAGCAGGCATGTTCAATCCCATTGCAAAAGTTTCAGTCGCAAACAAAGCTTTGATAAGCCCCTCAGAGAACAAAATTTCTATAGTTTCTTTCAAAATCGGCAATAAACCTATTACAGAAGCAAGGAAACAAAAAATGGATAACATAAAAAAACGTAAATTTAAGGAAAAGTCAAAATTCCCAAGCACCTCAGAAAAAGTTCCAAAAAACCAATACATTCTGATATGGCTCCTCATATAAGAGTAAAGCATCACCATTAGAACAGCATGAACTCCGAGTCAAAGCATCGTTGTCCCATGTATCGGTCTGCTAGGTTGTTTTGCCCATATAACTGATATTCATGACGACAGTTTATTCCTTCCAGTTCTGAAAACTCTAATAGCCATCTTATTGTAACTGCATTTTAACAGCAGTGTTCCAATAGCTCACTGGAACAACAATAGGACACCCCTACTTAGACTATTTTATGCACTTGCTGGTTTGTATTTGGACATTGCCATCAGGGAGATGGGTTTTTTAACAATTTATTTTTTTCACTTTCATTTTCATCACCAATGAACAGACGGCTTTTGAAAATAATTGGCAACATCTTCAAACGTTCACTATTTTTCAGTATTCTTTCTCTCTTTTCAGCATATCTCTTGTAACTGAAGATGGTCTACTATGTTTTTGGTTTAGAGGAAGGAGAAAATGTATTGAAAAGTCAAATGAGGAGTATCGTAGATAGTACACACATCTATTTTGTTCTATAGATAAAAGTAGAATGGAACAGACAATAAAACATACCTCCATGATGAATACCAATTCCTCTTCTTAATAATGGTAACACATTCTCGACTTGAGGTAATTTCCGATCTTGGTCATTTAAAACATCCATTGCATTGTTAAAAACTTCATCAACAAGCTTCTTTTCATCAGCTAGTTAAAAAAATAAGATGATAAGTTAGTAACTTGAATCATGATGTGCTTTGATAATTGTGGCTGCGATGACAACGATCATGTTGATAAGGTAAGGAGGGAAATTTATTGGACACAAAAAATACCCTTCTAGTGAAACCACTTTAAGCAAAACGAGGATAGACGAAGTTTCTTAGCATGGCAGAAAATTAGTTAGGTGGGAAATGTGAGTGCATTCTGTAGTATGTAATAATCGCTAAAGGTGCTCTGCAAAATTCACAGTGCACTTAATTGTTTAAAAGTTCCTTTTGAAGCTCAGAAATTGTATTACAAAACTATTTTTTTAAAAAAGGAAGAAAAATAAGTTTCAACGCGTTCTCCTTTCAACCTTATTTCTTGTGCAATAAGCTTTACTTTTTGAAGTTCTTGTTTTTAGCTAAAGAGAGGTTTCTCAGAAAGACCTACACCTCTAAAATTTTTTCAAACCTCTCTTCTTCTTCTCCCTTGGTGCTCTCTTTACCTCATAATTTACAAAATATGCGAGTAGATTTCATGTGGTTTGAAGAAATTCAGCTCTGTCTCAAAAAAGTTAATTCTTTGGGGATTTTTTTTTCCTAGTTAGGTCTTCAAATGAATTTCTTCACAGCCAAAAATATTTCTATAAGATTGCATAATGTGGCATTCTTTGAACACCTTAATCGCCAGATACTCATGATGGTGATTTTGCACAAGTCTCATTTATTCATTATGATAAGGATGGAGGCCGCACTTTGAGGAGCAGATCTCACAGTAATTTTCAACTCATCTTTTCCTGCCAATTCAGATAAATTTTTTCAGTAGTCTTCTCCAGCCATTTGTGATTTAATTACAGGATTATTTCAAGTACATCCACTGAAGGGACTATTGCCTGAAGGAAGAAATAAAATATCCGAAGACCAAAAAGAGTGACAAAGGTAACTAAGAAACAAGTGAGCAGTTAAGGGTCAAAGTACCTAAAATAAATTATACTCAAGGAGAAAAGAATAAAAACCACTACTTACAGGTATTGAAGTCTAGTTTGGCCATTTGCATGGCATAGACTTCACAGTCTTTCTTGCTGAAGGAGAATACAATTACAGGGGCAAAACTTCGTTCCATTATCATTTTGACGATTTTATAGCAATTTGTTTCTTGTCCATTTCTGGGTCCACCTTTGCGACCAGCTCTATGATCACCTCCTTTTGCATTATCTCCTGCGTTCGCTAAGACTGTCATCGCAGAGTTGAAGTTGTCTTCCCTGAACTTTCCCTGGGATATTAAATATTTAGAGTTAAAAGAGAGTGATAAAAAGTGATCCACCTCGAGGATAATTTTGAAATCACACTTCCATTATTAGAAATCTTCTGGGAAAGCTACGTAGAAGGTGGGTAAAAGGCTACAAAGCCAAGTTATACTAAATTGGAAGTTGAACAATTTTTGAAGTGTCTATTTCATGCCAAAAAAACCCCTAAAAATACTCCTGTAACATTCATGTGAGTTTATTAGATTTGGTGCAGCACAATGAGAATTTATCCAGTAAATAAATTTGGGGGAGACTTCTCTTAAAAAGCAAGACTTTCTTTCTAAACTTACGTTCAAAACTTACACTTTCATCGACAACAAGGTGAATTCCATCACCTCCATTAGGGAAAAGATAGTGTTGAAGAGGCGTTGGTCTGTAATCAGTGTAAACGACATGGCATGGCTGCTTGTGAAGATGAGCGATCCACTCAACGAACTGACGAGCATTGGGGATTGTTGCAGATAGAAATACATTGTGCACATTGTCTGGTAGTAAAATAATCGTTTCTTCCCACACAACTCCTCTTTCTTTATCCCTCATGTAGTGAATTTCATCAAAAATGACCCAACCAACTTCACGCATCACTTCTGATCCTCGATACAACATGTTACGTAAAATCTGAAAACATACAATGCATTTTTATGAACATTCTAATCAGATAAAACATTAACGCAAAAAAAATGTCAACTGTGAGATAATTAGAACAAAAATTAACAAATGACTACCCTACCACTCACCAAGACTGGCAGACAAGAAATAATGAATAAGAAGTACAATTTTAAATGTTGCAGGTGAATAGAAATTTTACCTCTGTGGTCATGATCAAACAGCTAGCACTTGGATTAATTGTGACATCTCCAGTTATGAGACCAACATCTTTGAACTCTTCAAAAAATTCTCGATATTTTTGATTACTCAAAGCTTTGATCGGAGTGGTATAGATAACTCTCTGTTTGTCTCTGAGCGAAGCAGCGATTGCATATCTAGAAAAAAAAATACATTGAAAGAATGAGCACCAATGGATAAAATAATATTAGTTTATCAGAGAAAATACTCAATTTCTGCAACTTGAAATTATGTGAAGCTAATCAGACAAGGTAATGACAAATTCACAGCAAATATGAAGATGGTGGAAGAAAAAAACCTAACGTTTCTGGTTTTGCATTAACCTATGATTTAACTAAAATCGAATTACGGCTGAACAGAACAGGGTATGTATGAAGAAAATGCTCGAATAAATGAGCTGGGCTCATGCATAAAGCAAAGATATCTTACAATGAAAACTTTTCACCCTTTTTTCAACCCATTAACTTATAATTTAATTTGACCTGGCCAGGCCAGGAATTAGTATTTAATTTTGTCCTATTATCCTACTTATTACTTAAGGCTTTGTCCACACGAGCGTAGTTCGAGGAACTTATTCGACAAACTGCTCAGTTCCCGGAACTTGTTCCTTGAAAGGAGGGATGCTGTCCACACTAGTTCGCCAAAACTGGAACCGGGACTTCAATAAAACTATACAATTATTGCAAAATAATAGATTATTACAGCCATCAAAGTAACAAAAATAAATGTCAAGACATGTAAAGGACATAAAAACAAAAACAAACAAATTCACATCAAAAGAAACATATGTAGAAGCTCGAAGTACGGAGGAAATTCCGGGTTTAGGAGGAATAAGTTTTCAGCTCAGCTAAAACTTGTTCCGGAAACAAGTTCCTCGAAATAAGTTTCGCGAACCGCGCTCGTGTGGACAAGGTCTTATGCTTGATTTTTTGTTTCCCTTGGATTTTGAATGAATGCATTCTTGCGTTTATTGACTGGTATTGCTCCTAGGAAATTTTACGGACAAAATAGCCTGCACGGTGGCGCTACCTGCCGAAAATCCATGGTAACATGTCGAGAATCGTTGCCAAGTTACCAGATGGCTCCCAGCCGTCACTTCAGATTTGGCCCAGCGCAGCACCGACAGCTGGGAGCCGTCAGTTTAAGTCAATGGGTTAATGAAAAACGAGAGATAACAGGACAGTGTCTAATTTTTAAAATCTTTTTGGTTAACTCGTTGGGTTAATTTTTAAGTTTCGGCAAAGAGAGGAAATTTTCCAAGAATAAGGATATGGATTGCAACTAATTTTTGCTCTGACGGACTCCAACTGCAACCTTGTCTAAAAGTATGCATTATGACACAGAAGAGGTTGCTAAACAACCTGAGATATTCTTCATGATTTTTTTGAAATTTTGTTCATTCATTTAATTCAAAGAGCTGGTTTCTATGAATTATTTAGAACCTCACCCTTAGTAGCAACTTCTGAAGTCGTATGATTCGTTGATTTGATGAAGAAATTGGTCTGCAGACATGTTTTTATGTCTGGTCAAAATTGATAGATTAATTGAAAAGAGGTAAAAACAAAAAACTTGCTTACTCAGCAACAACTGTTTTACCAGCAGAGGTGTGAGCTGATACCAACACTGACTGGTTATTATCAATACACAAAATTGCTTCCTTTTGAAATGGATCTAAAATGAATGGATATTCCTTGGCAGGTGGCCCATTTGGAAGGACTAGTGAAGTGTAAGGGATGCCAGGAGGGAATGCTACTTCGTGAGTACATGCTTCTAGTGTCTCTACGGTGTAAACTTCTATCCTCGGTGCAACTTCTTCCAAACTGAAATCGAAAATACAATCTATCAGAGGATATTTTATCTTGATCAAGAGCATAGTGGACATAATAACCAGTCCTTCGCATAAAAAAGGGTTAATCATAATTTGTTCGCTGTTTGAACAATCAATCCTAAGTGTCTTGCAAAACAAACACAGCTTGTTGGGAATGTAGCAAACTGGCAATAACTAATAGAATGACTGAAGTCATTGGTTATCCGTTACATGGATGGTAGTTATTTTGTTAAAACACAGGTGGATCATTTTTTATACATGAGAATTTCATCTTTTGATCATATTTCTTGATTTTGAAAGGCTCTAAAACTCATACACTATTACCTCAAAACACATAACATTTATTCAGACTGATTTTACTCTTTATCTCTGATTCACATCTCGACAAATGTTACATTCAAACTTATATCTTTATGCAAGGAGTAGTTTGTTTCAGCTTCTCTTGTCTACTAAAGTATTGAATTAGCCACTTACAACCTCAAGAGAGACTTAAGCCTTACATTAGCAACTTGCGTTGTATACCCAGTATCAAGGAGCTCTTTACAGCAAACAAATTAGTTGCTCTTGGTTTCTGGTATGTTGTACCTTCTTCCTGCATAGTGTAATGCTCATAAAAAATCAATAAAGCAAAGATCTCTCTACTGAAAAATTACAAGTTCAGAGACACTGTTACTTGTTGGGCAGTGCTGAGATCTCACACCCTGACAGAGAGGTAATCATGAAAGATCTGGCAAACTTTTCTGAGTGATCTCCATTTAAAGTTACAACTTCTGATGGCAATCCTCTCGACAAGGTCAGTTTAATTTAAAATTGATAAATGCATTAAAAGTCTCACCAAGTCTATTTCTTACATTTCACTGATCCTAGATAACGGAGTTTAAATTAGATTCAAAGAGGTAGGAATGCAGTTTTGATGTAACTCACAAAAGGCTGAAATACTTACTTTATACCACTCAAAATTTCATCTGTTTCTGACTTGAATTTCTTTGAGTCCTCCGCGAGAACTTCATTTTCATCAAGTTGCCTCTTGGCAGGTTTTTGATCACTGGAAAAAAGACAGACATTAGAGGTGCTTTCACAAATTGCAAGAGAAAGCTAATCAAACAAATGATCAGGGAGGACAAATTTGGTATGGTATGCTGTGGCAAATGAAACATACCACCTGAATGCTCACATCAACTTAATTCGAGCAGAACCTGAAAAGTGTCAATTTTCGTCTCTACAAGGGAAGATTCTGAGTACTCTCGTTCAGTATTCATCACAACAATCAGTGGCATGTATTGCAATCTTATTCCTCACTCACAATTTTTTTCAATTCCATATAATTTTAACATGAGGAGCCCGACAACATCAATTGGATGATGCAGTAACTTACCTCAGATAAGATGACAGTCATTTACTTGCTGCTCTGTCCAGTCAGTGATCCGATGTCTAGGGATTTATCCCTAGATCTAGGGATTTTCCAGAATTTCTAGGGATCTAGGGATTTTTCAGAATATATAGGGATTTTTTTAATGAGGTAAAGTAAGCAAAAATCGACTTTTCAACCTCAATTCTAGCTTCGACAATCGAAAATATTTTTTCATCTATATTTTGTAGGCCTTTTTGGCAACACTATTTTCCTCGTAAATAAGCCGGAAATTAAAATGATTGCGTTACTCGATGTACTTGACATTCAACTGCATTTAACAAAAAAACAATAAGAAGAACTCAACTAATATTCTTTCATTTTATTGGTCTGGATTAGCACTGCTTTCAGAGAGCGGCAAAATTCAAACGAGCCAATCAGATTTAAATATTGCTAATCGATACATCGAATGACGTCATGATTCTACGTTAAAAATGGCGGTTTTTTGCAAAATCTAGGGATTTTTTGGGGATATTTGAGCAAATCTGGGGATTTAGGGATTTTTAGCGAAATCTAGGGATTTAATATCGGAACACTGTCAGTCCAGTAGCGATGAAGGATTGACCAAGTCCAGTGGCAACACAATGCTGCTCTTGGGAGAAGATGCTGAAAACCAATATCTCCTCCAGAAGAGATATTGCAAAATTTGTCCACTGTATAAGCCAGACATTAACAACTGCCAACTTGTCTGACGGAGGTTTCCAACATTGTTGCTGAACTCCAGAAAGTCCAACAATTAAAAATCAAAAAATGTTTCATAATTGGACGTATTTCTGCTAAACGGAGCCAGAGACAAGTGAGAGAGAAGGGGTGTACTTGTTAGTCTGTAAGAATGAATGGAAATTATAAAGTGCCAAAGACATCAGCAGCAACTAGTCACCGCTGTAGTCGCCCGTAAACGACCTTAACTCATGAGCCCAGTCCATGACGCTCTTGTCACATGCCCACAGCTCACAATTGCCGCAAACAATTGACGTTTTTGTTCCGTTCAGTAGAATGTAACATCCTGCTTTTACATTTCCAAAAAGGGCATCACGCCTACTTATACATTATTTCTTATGCAGCTTTCCAGAGCCCACCCCATCTTTCCCATTCATCTGTGGTTCTGTTAAGCAGAAATACATTTAATTGTCATACTTGTGGGGAACAGTGAAGGAGGATAAGCACATTTGATTCTCATGCAGCCAATCTGGTATAATATACATACGATACAAATTGAACCGAATCTAATTTCATGAGACCAAAACAGAGAAAAGCACATGGTGTTGGGAGATAACCTATAAGTATCATGAAGGTACCTACTTGGAATTTGTCGCACTAGTTGGCGTTTCCGCGACTTCGTCTTTGACCTCCTTGGAATCATCAGTTGCCTCGTCAAAAACGTCAAATACATCGAAGTCGGCCATCAAAGAATTTTTAATAGGGACTAAAATTGATAAAAAAATTTAATGAAGTGAGGACGAGTAGATACTGCAGCAGAACTTGAGCAAAACAGCGGTGGAAAAGGCACTGTTATATAAGTGTCCGCACAAATCCCATTTTCCAAAATGAGACCCTTTGTAAGATTGAAAGTAAATGCAACATTTGAAACACAAATTTAATCAAATAAACGGAAAAAGACGGGTAAAAACACAAAAATTTTTAACTGATAATCCAAATGTAAACACAAACACAGCACGTGAATAATTCCGAAAGAAACCATTCACCCGGTGATGCCACCGGTGATAACTTGATATAACATGTAACCCGCGAACTTCAAAATTCAGGGGCGACAGCACCGAACAGAGGAAGGGGGATCCAAAAAGCAAAGGGGTTGTGTTTCCCAATTTTAGAAAGGTCATACTAGGGTTCCAAAGAGGTTTTAGAAAATAGGAAGTAATTGAATTTATAAGAGAGAGGAGTCCAGCTTCCAATCTTTAAAGGACAGTCTCCGGGGAGGAAATGGTTAGTAAGTATAATAATTTTCAACTGTTATTTTGTTCGTGCCAAAATTCCTCAATGCTGAGGCTGTTTCATCCCTTATAAAATGCTTTCAGCTGGATAATATAGCCGTTTTTAAAAGTATTTGCTTCGTAATTTCTTGTTACCTGACAATGAAAGGGAACTAAATTTTCTTGACACCTCAAAAACATTACTGCAGTTGGATCTCATCTGTGTTTTGAGCTGAATACCTACTTGTAAAAATTGAACAGGATTGGTTTGGCAAAGGCAGCTAGTAGCCTCTATATTCTATTCCAGCGATGCAGAGGTAGACATTGAACATGCAAATTTTTCTTTGTCTCTTTTTTGAAATTCTTCTTGTCCAGTCAGTCAGAAGGTACCTATGAGAAAGAGCAATATTTTCAATGCTTCTTGTTGGGTCCCCAAGTTAATTTGGATAGCTTAGTTGGAGAATGCATATCCTTATTGTACTGTTTCAAAATATCTGATTATGTTTCACTCTTGTGAAACAAAAGTAGCTAAAAAATTCCTTGAAAAAATGCCAAATTTTGGATGGGTGAAGAATATTATGGAAAATTGTAGGAAAACTGTTGGTTGGTTTCTTTTTTAAAAAAATAGAACTTAATACAGAAATGTACAAAATTGAAGTTGCTGGTACTGAATTTTGGACTTGGGCCATCGATTTGTCTTTTATTTATCTAGCTACTTCAGCCTGGCGATCTATCATATAGTGAATGCCTTTTAGGGCTTTGGCGGTTTGTAAAATATACCAGAATCATTAATCTCGAGGGAGCACAGATTAAAAACTTGATGTTTCCGTTGGCATGACTTATGCTTGTGTTTCAGAGTTGTGACAAGGTTCAAAGGGAGGTAAAAAGATTATCACAACTAGGATTCTAGGCTTCAGACTCAGTGTTTTTTGATTTGTAAACAAGAATAGAAAAATTTCATATCTGCGTATATTTTGCTGTAAAAAACAATTTTAAGACCCTACAATATTTTCCTAGGTTTATTTTTTCTCAAAAGACTTGCTTTTTAAACTAAAAACTAAAATTGAAACTTAGTTAAAAAAGAATTGCATAGCTAGGGTAATCTGTATAAGGTATATCCTCCGTACTTAGTAGAATGATTCAATGGTCGATCAGTCAATGGTAATTTCTGGATTTTAGGATGTTTCTTAAGAATTTTGGAGCATTAAATCATGCTGTAGTACATCAGGTATCTATCTGTGCACAACGTTTGACCGAGAGATATTTTGAAAGAGCTTCAAAAATAAGCTGAATGAACACTGCAAATCGAAAGGTAAAACGGTTGGCGGTATTCACTCAAGACATACTTCCAGATTTATTTTAAATTGTTTCTTGCTCAAATTGTGTGCACAAATACCTGACATATGACAGGTATGTTACAATGCTTGAAAATTCTTGAGAAAAGTTAAAATGCAGAAATTATCGATTGAGCATTCGACTACTGTTTCTGAGGGTGCTGAAGAACCACCGTACGTCAGATGATTCAAGTGCCACGAAAAATAATATTTTCAGGTTTTTTAGGACTTCAGAAAAATAAATCTTAAAAAATAAAATAAAAGCATTACTTTTGAAAAATTCGGAGCTAGAACTTGAAGTCATACAAGGAAAAAAAAAAAAAAGAAGGATGAGCTTGAAAATTTTCCATTAAAGTATGAGACAAAATAAAAATCAATTACTACATGTTTTCAGTGGAAGATATATTAAAATATTATAAAAACTGTACAAAACTGATAATTCATACGATTCATATTCACATAAACTGGATAGTACGATTATGTTTAAAAATAAATAGTACATGATTCATCTTAAAATTGTTTCTTAGACGGTAAAGAATTTAATATAAGGGTAACAATATCATTTTCCTTCTTCCGAAAATTTTAACTTGTGTCATAGTTTATGAGAGTTTGTATTCTTCTCGTTTCTCCTGTAAAATACTTTCATTACAAACAGTTTAATAATGCTATACCATATATACATACATATACTTCATCAAAGAATTTCAAAAGAGGATTTTCAGATTGACTGGGAGAAAAGGAAAATGATAAAAAAACAAAGAGTTTATTATACAATAATACGAGAAAAAAACAGCATCATTTTGAGCCGTGAGTTTCACTAATGTCAGTAAATGCAATTGCACATAGCTATGAAAGCAATACCTCCGAGTTTTAAGTTAAAGTCTATAGAACAATGGTGAAAGCAAACCGGAAAAAAGTAAAAACAAGAGGAGAGCAGAAAAGGCTATGCCAGAAAAAGGCAATATTGAATTTATTTTGGGGAATTATGTTCTGATTTCAGGCTAAGAATAATCTGAATATTACTTGAGTGACAAGAGAGGAGTAAACTATCAATAAAAGAGAACGACTTGAAAGACAATAGTTAAAGCTTTTCAAAAAATAAGAAAAAAAGAAGGTTGAAATAATAGACCAAAGACATACGTAATAAAGCAGGGATGCGATTAGTGTTGAAAAAGAAAAAAAATCTTCGGCTTGGAGCAACCAATTGCTTTAACTGGGAATTTTCAGCAGTGATTTGTGCAATTAAATATATGTGGTTGACTCACTGAGAGTAAATCATAGTTGCCTTGATGCTTTGAAGATCATGATGATTGTAACAACGAAGGAGATATTGGCATCTAGGGAAAATATGGATAAGAGAGGGACTCCCCACAGAATTGATCTGTGCATTATCTCAACCCTAACACAATGATTGACTGGAGCACCAAGATGCGTCAAAATGATGATGAACACTGTTTTTTGAGAACCACTACATCCTTGTGGAGGCAAAGTCGTTATTTTAAAAAAATTTTCTTCGATATTTAAGGGCAGAAAAATAAAAAATAATGAAAGAAGAGTTGATGATATCGTAACAAAATGGATAGTTAGAAGATGGGGAAATTTGAGATTGAAATAGATTCAAATAAAATAATTAAGATCATAATAAGGAAGCTGTGCATGAGCTAAATTAAAATAAAAATATAATGCTAACACAGATACAAAAATTGAATAACAATAATAAATCCAAAGAAAAAATATAGGGAGTTCTCGGATTACTTTCTAACACCAAGAAATTCAATTCTGTCTAACAGACTTTAAAGAGATAAAACTAACTTAGAAAATTCTTCAACTCAAAGCTCCAGCCTGACTAAGATTTAAAAAAAACCATTATTTTTTAGATGATGCTGAGTGCGACATTTGGCCTGCCAGTATTATCTTTAATGTTTAAGTTTTTTCCTTTCTCAAGGTCAAAAAATGGGAAAACTAATTTTAAGGAGAGGAAATAGGGGAGGGGGGGAGGTTGCCTTTTTGCATTTTCAGAAGGAAAAAAAAAGAAGAGAAAAATTGGGCTTATTATACTTAGAATCAATCTTCGACATGTTGTGAAAATATCTAGTGGCACTCTATTTATGCAATGCCCCTTACAAAATATTTTTTGACATTTCGATGTATGTAAGGTTTATTCATCGATAGCTCATCTTCAGCTAAGGAAATACGAAGTTTTATTATGATCATATCTAAGAATTTGGCCTGGGTGCTTAATATCAAGGAACTAATAAATAATCATTAGAAACAGAAAGATAATCTCCACAGCTTGCATTATAAGCTACATTTTGAGGAGTTTGAGAGCTACATAAGACAGTTCTTCATATATTTTAACAGAAAACACAATCATAAGAAAGGGGGATGATTAGTCACTTACAGCACAGCAAATGGATAGTGATATTACAAGAATAGTTTCGGCTAAAATAAAAAGAATAAATCCGACAACAAGATCAAAACATATGAGAATTTCTGCTGACAATTTCAGCTGTTGTAAAGCAGGTTGAAACTTTGATCTGGGAAAAAAATGTATGCTCAATAGATTCAGGATACTTTATTGGCCTAGTGCTGATGATAAAAGCAAAAGCCACAAATCAAATAGGGGTTAAGGATATTTTTGGCAAAAAAAAAAAAAAGTCCTCTGTTGTTATAAGTAATGATGAATGTTAGTAAGAATAGTTCACATCTGGTCTATACAGTGAAATGCTGATTAGTTAACATTGTTTGACAATTTTTTGAAAAAGCAAGCAAAGGGGGCATTGAACCAATCTTAATTCTTCTGAGAGTTCACACACAAAAGCTCGAGTGTTACAAAAGACAGCTGGGTGTATAACCATTTATCTATTTTCTTCTTCTTCATTAAGCTCGATGCTTGCAAAAGTTGTGCGCAAACAAAGATAAAAGAACAAATTACCAAATTAGTTTAATTCCATGTGAAATACACTTTTATAAATCTAGGTATGTGCAGAAGTAGAAGGAGGAATAATAGCACCGATGACTTGGGTAAAAAAAATTATGGATCTCCAATTGCAAAATTGCAAATCTTCTATTACGTTTTATATATTTAAAGAAAACTAGCTAACTGTTCTTCTTGAAGCTTTCTGTAAATTTTTTTTCATCCAAAAGTAATCACAGAAATTTTTAAGCAAATATTTTACTTAGTTTAATTTTAAAAAATTGAGCATAGTTACCGATTTTTGAATGGGACAATGGAGACACACATTTTTCAACCTCCACCATTGATATTCTGCTTAAGATAGAATACGGTTGGCTGAAAGTTTTTAGAATTGTAAAAATAATCTCATGATGATTAGAAAGCTCCTTGATGTCACCAGCAATGATCATTAACTGTCTTAATTTTCCATGAGTTATGAAGAATTTATTACGAAGTGAATTGTTAGACTTTTAACAGAACAGTGGAACACAGATTTATTAATTGTTAATCGTGATGAGGGTGCAACACGCCCCCCCCCCCCCCCCCCCCNAAAGTAATCTTTGTATCAAAATCTGTGATCTTAAATTGATACATTTTGATTGAGGAATGGAGACATGGATTGTTCTCCTTTATTTACTTAGAGAATGAAAAAAATTAAAAGTAGTTAAGAATTGATTGAACAACGATGATTAGAATGATTGAGCCCCATTTTATATTGAAATTTCAAATTATTGACAATTGATGAGAAAAAAAGAAAGGACAGCTAGGTTGATAAATCACACCACCCAAACTGATAGTGTGACGGTGTTATTTGGTCTTTTCAATTTCTGTGCTTCAAGCAAATAGCTGGACAGAAAAAAATCAAAAGAAAAATAATAAATTTAACATATTGGAATCAAACTGAAAAAATCATCACCAAAATTCCGAAAGCGGTTGGAAAATTAATAATTATTATAAATGAAAACCATTGTGATAACAGTTTCTATTATTAAAAAAACCGTGACTGTTGCCGAAAAAAGAGAGATTGGAAAAGCAAACAAATTTGGGAGAATATTAAAAAAAAGAAGAAGAAAAATTGGTTCAAGATGTGCAGAGAAGAAAGATCTTTCAGTTTAAAATCTCAGCAAAGGATTGCGTATTGCTTTTTGGCCCCTCTATGACATACTTCTTTATAATTTTCTCAAAGCGTTAAAGAAATGTTCCGATTCTTTCCTACAGAGATGATGAAAAATATTTGACTTCAAAGTTCAGACATCATTTTCCACAGAGAAAAATGCCTTTGCATTTGACCTCAAGAATTCTAAAGTTAGTTTAACAATTAATTGGTGCTTGTCAACTTGCAGCCATCTTTTATAATGAGTTAACAAAAATATGCTATACATACACAGTTGAAAATCGTCATTATTTTGAATAGACATTTTACATACTTACAATTGAAAAGAGACTTGAACAAAAGCTACAATGAAAAAGTGCAATACGCACACACATAAGAATAGTAAGGAAGTTAAAGTAAAAATAAAGAAAAAGGGAGGATCTGAAAGGGCTTTTCTCAGAGACGTTTATTAATAAGGGAAAGAAAAATAAATTCCTTATCCAGGTACAAATCTTTCATATTCAGATTAAAACTTAGCTAGAAACAAAATTTCTTTTAAGTCAGCAAAGACACTGTTCACCCAAAAAAGTTTATTGTTTTTGATTTCATATTAAAGTTCAGAGTCTTGAAATGAACAATTATTGCGACATGAGAAGGAGAAAGAGCAGGGCACACAATCGATGCACGCCATTCAAAAATTAAACATGATATTTCAATTTCTCTGTTAATATGAAGAAAAATATATTAGATACTAGGTAAAAGGATAATAACAAGAAAAATAAATCGATACATACATAGATTACCGAATTAACAAAAATAAATACAGGGTGTTTAACAAATCATGCATGGGATTGGATAAGAGTGGAGCGGCTTAAGGTACACATCTTTGAGTAATTTCTTTGTACAGAGTCTCTTGATGGACTCATTACTTTGCCTTGCATTTCCTGACTCCAAGTTTATGAACCACTCTAAATCAGTAATTATGTTTCCGATTGTTCCCATTTTGCTAACAGGCAAATGTATGCTCCAGACTTTATGATCGTTTTTCAAATTATGAATGGAATAGCTACTTACAATATTGTAGTGAAAATATTTGATGCTTTTGTTCCCTTTTTTCTCTCAGATATTACGAAGGAGCTGCCTGTACAAAAGGATCCTCTCTTTATTAATTGGAAAAGCCACACCTGAAACAAACGAAGAAAAAAAAAATTAACTAAAATGATGAGTTTTCCAATAGACTTATTTTCTTTGAACAAATTATAAGCACATAGGAATGAAGACTTGAAGAGATTCTTGTGAAGGTTGATACAATTTTTATGTAACAAGCTAAAATTAAAATCCTTAAAGATCAAGTTTACTATATTAAAGGACTACGTGCAAAACGGGCCATTTGGGGCTCGGGGCGGATACCTTTGAGACTTGCCCTATTCATTAACCTAACAATGCCCCATCTTTTCCCAAAGTTTCAAGCCCCCCAAAAATTTTGGGGAGACGCGGCGGGGGGTCAAAGTTAAAAACCAGCAAAATTTTCGCGAATTTATTACTCGAAAACCAAGAAGTTTTGGAAAATGCGGTTTAAACGAGCGTATGCAGTGTGACGAGAGCTTTCAGAAAATGTATAACATCATAGGGTTTTGTCAACTTCAGCTTGAATTATCGCCTCCGAAGCGCCGGAACGCTCAAAAAAGACCCCTTATTTTTTCACGTTTGGGCCGATTTAAAAAAAAGCCATTTTTTTATTTTCGGGTCGGGAAAATCGGCTATTTTAAACTGCGCGCGGTGACGGATTAGGAGACATGTGGCAACAATGCGAGGTCGGCAGAGGAGTGTGATTCGCCCAACTGAGTGGGAGGGGACGTTTTCCCTCCGATCAACGCCGCGCGCGCAGTTTAAAATAGCCGATTTTCCCGACCTTCGCTCCTTTCCGCTCTCATAACTCGCTACCAAAACATTTCCCCAGCATGCGGTAAAGAGCTAGAGGGGCTACAGAGAGTCAGGAACAATATATCAGTTTTTCACGAAAATAAAAAAATGGCTTTTTTTTAAATCGGCCCAAACGTGAAAAAATAAGGGGTCTTTTTTGAGCGTTCCGGCGCTTCGGAGGTGATAATTCGAGCTGAAGTTGACAAAACCCTATGATGTTATACATTTTCTGAAAGCTCTCGTCACGCTGCATACGCTCGTTTAAACCGCATTTTCCAAAACTTCTTGGTTTTCGAGTAATAAATTCGCGAAAATTTTGCTGGTTTTTAACTTTGACCCCCCGCCGCGTCTCCCCAAAATTTTTGGGGGGCTTGAAACTTTGGGAAAAGATGGGGCATTGTTAGGTTAATGAATAGGGCAAGTCTCAAAGGTATCCGCCCCGAGCCCCAAATGGCCCGTTTTGCACGTAGTCCTTTCCATTTTTTCGGATAAATCGCAAAAGATGAGGAGGTAGCACTACATATATATGAAGTTGATACGACTAAACTTCTGTGCTACATAAAATTTTATTATAATGTAACCTACTTATTGTGCTAAGAGGCAGAAATTTTTCAGAGCTACAAGTTTTTAACATCAAAGCAAATGGAAAACAAAGTTTCACAGAACTCCATGATGAAACTCAAATGGGCAAGCAATGACAATGGGGTTAGGGTGAGGAATTTTTGCAGAAATGTTGTTTAGTTGTTCTTACGTACAATTTTGTGAAAAAACTTTGCTCAAAAGTTCGAAAAATCATTTCCAAGGGGAGAAAAAGCTAATCAAAATCAGTCAGTGAAGTTGATGTAACAAGGCCATGCCTAAAGTTGAGTTCAGCCGATCAGCAAATGTCGTTGACCCCACCTGGCTACGTCATCAGAGCTCGCCAAAAAAAAATATTGTCTCAAAGAAATCTCACTATGGCATTTTAAAAATGAACCACTAGACAAGGTAGGAAGTTAGGCATTCTGATACATGTTACTGAATTAAAATTTTACGTAAAACATGATTTGCTCAACGAAAATCACTCAAATTAACTCCTGACCAAGATATTTAATGTTCCTTGACAAGTGAATTCAAACCTCCCGCTCATTAAAACTCAATGGTCTAGGTGAGTCAAATCGCACTCTAAAAATTACCATGACACTCCCTGCGATATTAAAATCTGGCAACCTCAATCTTGACGCTTTGGCTTAGCTATGGCAAGTTGTTTATAGTTTGATCAAAGCAGGGTGGGAAATGAACAGTGCTGGATTGAGAAGCCTGCCGAAACTGTTGTAGTAGGCATTTGGATTAACGTAAAGTATTGAGTTTCTTGTGAAAGGGCGATTCAAATTTCCCGTAACCAATGTATAATAAAAACATTAATATCTTAGGTAGGAAATGATTTCCGTGATTTTCGATGCAAGAATCGTGTTCTACATGAAATTCTGGTTAAGAAACATGTATCAGAATCCTTTAATTCGTACCTTGTCTAGTGGTCCATTGTATTTCTTTGCCATTTAAGGTTAAGAAACAACTCAAAAACTTCCTAGGAGCTTAGTTAACTCTGTATTTTTAGAAAATGAATATTAAAAAAATGGATGCCACCGACCCATCATAATGTTTTACATGAATAAGAAGGTTATCGCACACAGATGAACAGCCAAAAATTAAATAGTTGGGGTAAAAAATGCAAACCAAAGATTACTATACGGTAAATTTACAAAGTGACTTGAGTTTGTAATACTTTATGCTTTGTTACCTTTACTCTATGCATTCTTATACCCTGACTCTACGATTTTCAACTTTTTACACAATGTGATGGTATTTTCTAAATCAATGACAATATTTTTAAGTGCCATTGCTTGCACATTTGAGTTTTGATAACAAGTTCTGTGGTGCTTTGTTTTCTGTTTAGTCTGATGACAGAACCTTATGGTTCCAAAAAGCTCCAGTGGCTGAGCGTGTAAAATAGGATACATCGCCATAAAATATGTATCATAAAAGGGTTTAAGTAATTAATTTGATTTACTTCAACAGTACACGTTTTCTTAGTGAGCTTGATATTCAATTGTTATTGAAACTACTGCTATCAAGAACCATGTTTATCTTGCTTAGAAGTTGATTTGAGAAAATTTTATGGTAAAATTCTCTATACTGATGAGAAAACTGTTACAGGAAAATAGCAAAATCAGACCATATTCAGTTTGGATACAGAGATTTTTTATTTAAACTAGCTATTAATGAGGACAGTCAGCAACTTTTCGCTCAAATTAAGAAGGGTAACATGGGCATACACACTCAGAAAATGACGGCTCGTCATTGTGATAGTTGAAGAATAAGCTTCGGGTCGGAGTGAACTATAAACAAGACTGCCTCCGGATTTCATTAATCAGATCAGGTGAGAGGGCAGAAGGAACAAGTAACAAACTTACACATGCATCATTGGTCGATCACTTGCAGCATCTTGATGGAGGCTTGTTATTGGAATCAGATACTACAATGCCTTGACCACTAGAGCCAGGACCCGTTCTATTCTCATTTTTTGGTAATTTCTTTGCTGTAAACAAGAGTAACAAAAACAATTGAGGTATCTTGAAAATTGTTAAAGTTGATCCCTATGAAAGATAAGTTCTATTGTTTTAATACAGAATTAACTTTTTTGCTAGTATATTGGACCAGGTTGGGAGGTTATCTGGTGGTTTTTATGTTACTAAAGGTTTAAAACAAGGATGTTGTCTGTCACCTACATTATTTAAGAACTTTCTAGAACATGTATTAAAAGAGTGGAAAAAGAACTGCTGTGGCATGGGCGTTTCCCTGAATGATACAGACACATTGTTCACTCTATGTTTTGCTGACGACCAGGTGGTGATTGTGCAGGATGCGGATGACGCTGAATATATGACTCGGAAGTTAGTGCTGGAATATCGAGGGTGGGGCCTACAGGTCAGTGTCAAAAAACAGAAAAGTTGACGATTGGAGGGGATCAGCAAGATGAAGAGCTAGAAGATGAGCAATGCATTAAAAGCTGCGAAGATTACAAATATTCAGGAGTTCGAGTATCCCAGGATGGAAAGATGAGCCAAGTCATAAAAGATCGAAACCTGCAGGGAAGGAAAGCTATGGCTATGTTAAATAGGATTCTTTGGGATCAAAGTATCTCCAAAGAAAAAGTCCGGCACTAGACATTCTAGGCAGTTTCTAGCTGAGAATCTATTGAAAATCTCATTTTTCTGAGTTTATAAAGAGCAGACAATGATAGGCTCCAGCTACTTTCCTTCATGGAATCTTAAAAAGCCAACTAAAGGCTTGAAGTGTGAACATGCACACCTTGTTCTCATTACAAAACCATCTTGAGAATCTGTGTGTTCTTAGTGTTTTATTTTCTTGCTTATTATTGCAATCACCTTTTCTGTTTACAATGACATTTAGGGTAGATGAAACGAATCTTCTCTGGCTTCAATGCTCGCCAAGCTTTTGAAATTAAGTTTTATTTTGCCACATTGTATATTCATGGCTATTTTACTTCAGTAAGTATAACTTTATGAGAATTCAAAATTTTAAATCTTAATATGAATTGAAAATCATTTAAGAAAATCATCCATGTAAAAAAATAAGCACTTACCAATGGCAAGAAAAACATCATTAACATTCACGGCTGTTTTAGCTGAAGTTTCATTGAAAAGGAGACCGTGTTCTTCAGCGTATGATTGGGCTTCTTGACATTCAACACTGCGCTTTGATACCAAATCTGCTTTATTGCCGACCAAAGCTATGACTATATTAGGAGATGCTTGCCGTTGTAACTCTTTGACCCACGTTTTTGCACGGTTAAAAGTATCCTGAGATGAAATTGAAAATCAGAAATATTAAAACATAATTCTTAACAAGACCTTGACATAATTGTTAACAAGTGACAAGTTGTACTAAAATGATTTTTTTTTTCTTGCTTGGTTTACAAAACTTGAAAAACACAGATGGAATGGCATAACTGAGTTAAAAGAGTGCATATTAAAATTCTTGGATCACTATCTGTTGATAAAGCAGATAAGTCAAAAACGTCCGATTCTTAAAATTAAAAGGAAGTATTGCATAAAAAACATAAAACAAAACTTACTTGATTTGTAATGTCATACACAACTATAGCTGCTTGAGCGCCTCTATAATACATAGGTGCCAAACTATGATATCTTTCTTGTCCTGCAGTATCCCAGATTTCAAATTTGACTGTCATATCTTCCAGGCACACAGTTTGGGTTAAGAATGCAGCTGCAAACGTAAAAAATAATTAGGTGCTGAACTCTATCAAAATTAAATCTATGAAATTGTTTGATTCTGTAAAATGTTATGTAAGCCTGGTCCTTTAGAATGGCAGCTAAGAGAAACTTCGAAATATTGTAAATAGCTACACTGAGGACCCAGACCATTATGATACGGCAGACGCTTGATTCTTCATCCAGACCTTTCCTTTCGATTTTGACAGATTGTAGTTTTTGACATGAAATAATTGCACTAGAGGCTAGACTTAATAATATATCAATTCATATTTGCAACAAAAATAATTAACTGAGAGGATCCACTTTATGCTAGTCTACCTGATTACAGGTTTGAAACATCATCTACACATAGGAGAGTGAGATATTGAGGCTATGGACTCTGAAACTATTTTAAAGGATAATGGATTTTTAAAGGGAGGAGGGTATTCTAGTGGTTCATTTCCCTGAAATACTTAGATAAATACAGAAAAGATTAATAGAACTGTATATACATGCAGAACAGCCGCTTTTACACCACAGCTTCGCACTCTGCGACACCCTGCAAGTTGTTAGATCGTTTGAAAGACCTGATGCAAGATTGTCTGACAGGTTGCAAAGTATTTTGAGAGAAGACCAATATACCAGAAGAGTGGCAGAAAAGATAAATTTGACAACTATAGAGCTCCTGAACAAAGCATATGGAAAAATTTGGAAAGCAACAATTGAGGACGAAAGTAATGAGAATGAAGCAGAGGAGCAAGTGCCTACGTTTCAAAGCAGGTAGATCAACGATGGATCATTTATTTACCATTTAGGTATTCCTTAAGAAATGCCAGGAAATGTGATAACATATAAAAAGATGAGAAATCTCCGGCTTACCTCCGATGGTACTTTCTTGATATTCATGGAACTGTCCTTTCACAAATCTGAGAACTAAACTTGATTTTCCGACGGCTGATTCTCCCAGTAGCACCAGTTTGAACTGACAGATCTTTCCTTGCGTTTGACCATTAGGACGCTGGACGGTTCCTCTGCTAGCCATGTTACAATTATCTGCAATAAAGAGGGCACATTGGATTTTGAGGGAAAACTTTTTTTTGGTAGGTACAATAGCTCATTTTTTTCAAGTATTGAAATGATACAACCGTATTCTGGTTCTATATCTATGCCAGCAATTTAAATTGCTGAAGCAAGGGAAATCAAAAATTGAGATGGCGACCATTCTTAAAATTTTGAAGGTGAGACTGATTGCTTCTGTCAACAGCAAAGAATTATTCGCTTTCACAGATTGAAAAAGAAGGGTAGGTCCTCCTTTTAAAGGTTTGAAGAAATATCAATACTTCTATCAGTGCTCTAAACTTGATAGGTACCTACAATCAACAGAAAAATCTAATGGAAAGGGAGGGTAGGGAGGCATTCTCTCAGATGAATAGTTGCATATAATTACTGAGAGCTCTAGCCAAACAAATACAAGGTAACTTGAATTGGGGAAGCGTTAAAGGGAAATGAGGCGAAGTGGGCGGAATATTTCCGAAGTAATGAGAGCAGTAGGATAAAATAAGTTGGAATAGCAAGATTTCTTTCTGAGGCAGAATAAAGATATGTAAAATTCAGAATATATTTGAGGTTACTAGCCAGATGAATCATCTTCATCTGGTATGAATCATTCAGCATAATAATACACAGATCACAGACAACAAAAAATTGGATGTCACTAGCTGAGGGGCGTTCATGATAGGTTAGTTTGAAGGATACAATGGTAAAACTGGCTGATTGGAGTGAGTATAAGTCTGTAAAATATGTGTATATTTGTTAAAGTTACGGAATAAAGGTTTTAGGGGTAAGGATAAGATAACCGTCATAAGTGTGTGAACGAGATCAGAGGACAATACCTTACGTAAAGTCAAGACTGTCACATCCTGGACCTGAGAAAGGAGAGTTAACAAATAAATATCACTTAGCAGAAAGAGAATTGCTGAGCTGAAGGAAATAAGAATCTCCTGTTGCTTGTCTAGCAAACACCAATTGGGTAAATAACTGGCAGAAATGGTGCCTGATAAGTGGTGGCTCTGGCTGGATTTTACTTGAAATAACAGATGGGACTACTGAATTTGATGGTGCGATTGCTTAGCAAACTAAGCAGTCGAATTTTACGGTATGTACAGATGATTTATATACCACAAAACGTTGAAAATAGTGAGAAGAATGTTTCTTTTAAAGAGGAAGCTTAGGCTTATCTGACCTACCTACTTCAATGTTAAGAATTCACAACACTTCGACGGTGAGGTATATATGTTTCACTTCGAGATGCAGGCAAAACTGGGCGAGGGCGGAGGAAACTACTTATAACTTGGGATAATAATTATTAACGGAGATAATATAATTCCTAACAAAGGTAAATTGAAGCGGATGACAATTTGACAAAACGAGAGAACGACCGCAGCGCACCACCCTTTACAGCGGAGAATCAAGGAGCCACATCATAATAATACAACAAATCACGAATAGGATGTTTCTCACGCTGCCTCCTTGATAGATATGCTTCAAGCTTTACACTGAGGTCCATGCATGATAACAGAGGCCGGAATCGCGCACGACTTTTTAAAAGCGTCCTGTTGGGCTTGGTCAGGAGTAAAAAATGAAATTTTTTTGTACCGTGACGGCGCATTTAACTATTGTTTCGATGTTCAAAACGGTTATTTCTTTACTTTACCCTTTTTTAATCGAAGCAAACTCACCTATACCGAAAGTCGAAAATGCGCCTAGCTCCGTTTGAGATGATGAAAGTTTCATTATACTTGTTATTTTTCTAAATAATTTTTTTTCATTTATTCTGCCAAAAATTTCGAGCGAATACCTCTGTCACTTTTTTTTATTTTTATTTTTTTTATCTTTTATTTTTTTTTTAAATGAAAAGTTACGTAAGTGTCTATGCCAAAATCTATACTAATATTTTCTATAAATGAGGCAAATCAGAGAAAATAGATGATTCATGAGAGAATGTAAGCGCTGAATTTTGCAATGACATCCGTAATTTCCATTACTTTTTTTATTCTTATATTTTTTTGTTTAATTTTTATTTTTAGAAATTCGATGTTTTCGCGGAAAACGGCATTTTTCGAAGAAACTGCGCTTTTCCGAGAGATTCCTGCATGCTAATCATAAAAGAGGTCATTCTTAGAATTAGTGTCCAAAAATATACACTTAAGTACAAGCATGGCAAGGCTATAAAGAACTTTTCTTGCTTTTCCGATCCTGACAAGCAGGGGCGGACTGGCGTCGACAAATTTTTTTAAAGGATCATGAATTGGAGGCCCCTTAAAGGGAGGGGGTCCTAAGGAAATTCCCTCGAAGGAGAGGGGAGAGGGTCTCGTGGTCCACTACCCGAAAGTTTTCGAAAATTAGGTGCCCCCTGGAACACAATTTTTGGTTGCCTTAATGTTCAAGAACACCTTTTCCTCATTTTACTCATAGAATTCCAAAGGAAAGAAATCTCGTCATCATCCTAGATTAGCTCCCTATAAAAGAAAGAGGTATTATTTTCCCTGCCAAATAGCCGAAAACAGTTACAGGACAGAATTTCCTTCAGCACCTGATACTAACATCATCTGTAATTGTCAGAGAAAAAGTAAGAAAGAAGTAAAAAAAAAAAAAAAAAAAAAAAAAAAAAAAAAAAAAAGATCGAAAAGGCGCTGAGACAACATTTTAAGCCACATCCACCACTTTTAATTTTCAAATTTTGAGAGGTTGAGTTGAAATTCAAGTTTACCGTTAGAAAAAGCTAAATTTTCGCAAAAATCGATGGAACAGGAGCCGCCTATCGCAGGATCAATAGGACCCAACACAGCGCTAACTGATAGGTACCAGTCAAGTTAGTGCGCCTTCATTCCCGCCTGATACTGTGCAATACTTCAGAGGCTGAATAGTTGCTCGGAGCGCCTTCGATAGTTTCGTGCCTCAATTCGTAACGCCGCAAGCTTCTTACTGCCTCTCTCATGTGGTTAAACCAATACGGACGCTTTAGATTTGCCGTGATTTCTCCAAGAATTGATGAAAAATTGTATTTCACTGTGAAAAAAACCCCATTCAATTAGTATGACGTACACCTAGAATTTTTAAGTATCCAGATCAAATTCTTGAAAGTTTGGAGGGCCCTTACTTTAATGACTATAAACCCTGAGAAATGTAGTCAAATCACGGCGTTTTCATATTTCCGCCGGTATTTTATTTTATTTCATTTCTTATTTTTGATTTTTTTTTTTTTTTTAAAAAAAAGCAACAAGAGTACCTACCTTCAAAAATCCAAAAAGCTAAATTTGCGATATTACTATTTCCGTTATCGTGAAAGGTTTTCAAAATCGCACGTCAATATGACTCGGGGATGCACGGAATTATATGCTACCACACATGTCGCTCCTCTGACGGAAGGGCGTAATTCAATTTTCGCATGAGCCCCTGAAAGCGTTGACTCATATGTAAAACAGGGCTCACGTGGAAATTAAGACACGCCCTTACGTCAGAGGGGTGACGAAGTGAGAAATACAAGATTGGTTTAACGTGATTTAACGAGAATTCAGGGGCTTGGAGGACAGAACACATAAAAGTAGTTTTTGTTATTTTGAGATATACATGTTTGAAGTTTCGAAATTGTATGGACCATGGCGGAAAGAAATTTCAAACTGACTTTTCGAAGCTTAAAAATTGGAATTAGGGAGCGAATTTTTCACAGAAGTCGCATTAAGACTAGTTTTACTTAAAATAATCAGTATCTCAAGTTTTTTGAATACTGCACTTATGCGCCTTGCTTTCCAAGCCCCGTAATAATTGGTCTGACTACATCCGACGTTGCCTGCTTTCTTCTCATGATTCAGTTTTCGGACTATTAGCAACAGTTTTAATACATTGCGTTTCTGACTTGAAATTTCTCCAATAAATTGTTTTACAATCTGGAGGAAATTTATCCAAGCTCACAATTCGCGTTGTTTCCTTGTAAAAATAAATAAATAAATAAATAAATAAATAAATAAATAAAACATGAAAGGAGACTAAGGCAACGTAAAATTCAGTTAGTCTGGTTCTGGTGCGAAAATGATAAGAGCACAACGCTGGATGCGCGTGGGTATCATCAATATCGACGGTGTAAGTCGGCAATCATGCACATAACTCGTTTGCAGTTTCTGAAAATCTTCGTCTCTATGTTATTTTTTGAAAGGAGAACAAATATACATTATTCCTTGAAGTTTTTGCAGAATTTTCTTCGCACAGAGAAGACAAATCACAGCAGTTTTGAAGAATTTCCGTTAAGAAGTTTTCCGTTTAAAAAATAAAGTATGATAGAAATTCTGCGACGTCGCAAACCGAGTTATGTGATTGCCGACTTACACCGTCGATATATATATATCAATCATTAGCAATAGAGAAGGAGAGGTAGAATAATATACCTATGTATAGAGAAAAGAGTATAGATACAGTGCTGTGCATACAAAACAGCACTTAAATATATTAAATGAATAGATGTACTGCTCAACGCTCATAAGGCCGGAGGGGCGAGCGACGAGCTCTCAGTGGCAGAAATGAAGGTTAGGGTGGCAGTATCAGGACGGAACGAAGGGGAATCTCGGTCCGCTCGTCTACATCCCTGCGAAGGGAGACTTGGCGAAGTCAGTCGATAAAATGGATTCCGCGGGTGCATACGGCGCTGGCAAAGCAGGAGGCGCTTTCGACCCCTACACTTTCATTCAAAGGCCTCAAGTGATGGTCAAATCAGTTTGTCTGGTGAGGAGAATATTATTCGTTAAAACCTAGCTCAGCCCTCCCGAATCCCCCGATTCCGAACACCCGATCCGATAGGTTTTTCCAACCCTCTCGCCGAAATGGTATTGATTTTTCGAGCTGTGCCCACACTGATAATTCGTTTCACTTCCGTGCCCCTGTAATGAGCGTTTGGCCTCTTCATTGGAATGCACAGTCGTAAACTATTGAGGAACTGCGTGTTTTGAGAGATTGTGGTTGATGAGCCATCAACGCGTCCTTTTATTGTTTGTTATCGCGCATAAAAATAATGAGCTGAACAGGTCGAGGACAGGTCCACTACATCAGAGTTTTGTTTTCGTTAAAAACTTTTTTTTTTTTTTTTTTTTTTTTTTTTTTTTTTTACGTAGCAAGCTTAAAATTATTTACTCACACAAAATATGCAGAAAAGTATATTTAATGGAGCAAATTGATTGTCCTTTGATTTAAAATATCAAACTCAGCGAGAATGTATATTTGTATCGTGACACCACAAGTATGTACAGCAAGATAGTAGTACGTAGGTAAAGGAGAATTTTTAACCATTTAAAACCAGGTAGCTCTCAAAACTCTATTTTACATCGTATTGGAGGAATTTCTACATTAAAGAAACAAATGTGTTTGAATTTGGCATATTTTGTAAGCAGTCCCGAGGATCTCGTCGACGTACGTAAACATGCAAAGGCGCGGGTATCGTGTTGGGGTTGGATAGAGATGTTCAAAATCATTTATGTGAATGAATCTGACTTTGAAAATATTGGTCAGACGTGGTTAATTATTTTTTGGATACGGGAAGGAAACCAAAAGTAAAGTGAGAGTCTCAAGAATTGTTATTATTTTTTCCTCTTCCTCTTGAAAATTATTGACCCTGAATGGGAACACCCCAGCCTTGTGTCATTGAATTGGAATTTGTGGCGGAACGGGGCTCGGTTCGGTTAAGGGGGTTCCGACACTTAACAACCCTCGTCTGTAATACATATTGACTCGTACATGACTAGTTATTCTAGGTGGGGGTGTCGGGATGGGAAAAACGACGATACGCGATCCCAAGCACTGATTAAGTTTTGCAGCTGTATCAGTATTACCTTATTTCAATTAATCTCTAAATATTTGACCCATCGCGAAAAACCTTTTTCATTTTTCCCTCCACAGAAAAAGAAAGTGGAATTTCGTCTCTCTTTACAGCTTCAAGGATGTTCTGAGGGTGTGTGCTTTTGCACTTATTTTGGGACCTCAAAAAAATATAGTATGTTAGATTTTATTTTTTCTTGTAAAGCTAAAGTGTGTAAGATTGTTTTCTAATTCATTCGGCTAATTTTAGGCTAATTTTAAGCTAATTTTGGAATGTTGCTAGCGCAGCTCACGAACTGACTGACTGACTGACTGTCGCTGTCTTTGACTTAAGGTTTTTTTACGAATTGCAGAAAACTATTTCAATGATTAGTTTGAAAATTAGTTCAAAGAAGATCAACATTCCATTTTCGGAGCTTTTAATTCTCTCATTACATCTCGCGAGCCCTGAAAATGGCCGAGGAAAGTTGTTAAAATTGGAATTTTCATATTTCCGCCGCTGAAAGTGTGGTTTGATTGGCACGCCGATTTGTGTAATGTTTGCTGAAAGCAACTAGTCGGTAGTTTTACAAGCGATTCACATACTAGAGAGTGTCTTGCAGGAACAAGGATTAAAGTAATTAAGGACACTGATTATGAGCGGCTGTATCTTAAGTCTAAAGAACTTTGTGAGCACTTAAAACACATGTGCCCGTCCATGGGAGGGGCAACCTTGACGTAAAAAGGAAAATTTCTCAGGAGAGCGATTTTTTTAGATCAGATTGAATGATCAAAATTTCAGTTGAGGGAAAGCACTCTCGCACTAGTATCACATAGAAAAAGTTGTCTAAGGTTTAATTCTTTTTTGATTCATTAAGTTTGTAAAGTTCTCAATCCAACTTTTCTCGTAAAAAAATAAAAATAAAAATTAAAGATTAATGTGTTACGTAGCGTTTCCTTAAAATTGCGTTTTTTAAACTACTAACTTCATACAGTTTTAAATCTGGTTGTTTGTTCGTTTTATATGAAATTGTTGGCGTTTTTGTACCAAAATGTGCGTATAACACTTATTTGGGCCTCAATATCTCAGTGTTGAGATTTTTCACACTTGAATCAATTTTCCTGTGGACTGCCTCGTCTTAAATATGAAAATAGTCTTAGCAGCGATGGGATACCTGAGTTGATTTTATGATCGGCCACAAAATAAAGCATGCACTCTTGACGCGAACTCCACGATTGGTAGTAAATTCCAAAAATGTCAACTTTCTGCAATGTTACCCACACGAAATAACTTCAGCTTTACTCAGAGGATGTAAAATTGACAGCAAATCGCTATAGTTTTCACGGAGAAATCCTTATCGATCGCGAAATTGACCGATGAAACTACTGCCACGTAGTGGAAAAAATAAATAAAAAAATACTGATACATTGAGATGGGCTGCGACACGATTGCGCGAAGGCCCCCTTTTTACCTTTTTGAAGTCACATAAGATTGCACGAATTTTTCTGGCACTGAAAACTCACATGTTTGCGCGAATATTCAGTATTCAAACAGAATTCATGTAGTATTGCAGGCGCTAATATGCGTTTCACGCCAACTGACCGACTTGCACTGCCTTTGGCGCAATGCGAGAAGTATTCACACAGTCTTGTAGGCGCTAATATGGGCCGTACGCCGACCGCACTGTTTAGCGAAATGCGTGAAGTATTCCTACAATCTTGCAGGCGCTAATATACGTTCAGCGCCGGCTGCACTTTGTTTGGTGCGATTATTCGAACTCGCTTTAGAATAATAGCGGCATCGAATTACAGAGCTTGAAAGGCCCATATTGTCTTTTGACGCTATATGAGCATTTCAACGTTACCTCGTCTCTCCCGATTAAATCATTTTTCCGAGGAAAGATAGGAAAGTTCTTTAAACCCGCGACTATTATTCAATCTTTTCACTTTATTTGTCATATCAGAAGATGTGACGTCGATGAATCAGGTATCAACAAACTAGCGTTAACATAAAAATGTGTTCATTCTCCAACTGTTTTCTATTTTGCCAAATTTCTACCTTAAATTAACTTCGTTTTAAATTCGCGCGTTCCCGTGGCAGATATTGAGGTTTCTATTCGCGCAATCCTTGTATATTTTCTTAGACCTTTCGCGCAATCCTGGACTACCGTTGAGATGCGCGCTTGAATTTTTCTCGAGGAGATCATGAAATGACCCTGCGGCATTCGCTGTTTTTAAATGGACGTATTTCTATCAAACGGAACTATGTGCATTATGACGTGAGCCCTGTTGTGCGTGTATTCTTATGGGTCTCAGGGCTCATTTCTTCATGTACATATAGTTCCGTTTGATAGAAATACGTCCAAATAAGAGAGGGTAGAGGCCGTAGCCCACATTTTAGGACGGCAACGTTATTATATTTATACAATCAAAGCACTATTCGGAAAATTGCGGATGTCGCGATAATATTTAGCAATAGTTTACTCTTTTGGTACAATAGGCAACGCTGGAATTAGGTCACAGTGCACGAGAAACAAACACAGTTTCCTCAGTCAGAATAGAGTACCTAGAATGCAACGCAAACTGTACTTTCGTTCATTTAGATTCCTGGATGCAACTATTCGGGCTCCATGGATGTCGTTGTTGCATACGCCCGGAAATGAAGGCGTTTTGACTGTCCATGAACTCACCACTTCACCCGTGGCGCGATGCCAATGGCGAGTTTTACTACAAAGATTCAAAATGCCATAATGCTCTCAATACTTCATTTATAGTACAAAGATATCTCCCAGGCACGAATAGTTGCATGTAAGTGTAAAATTTTAAGTACGTATCAAATTTCTTTTTGAAAAGAAATGAGCAACCGTAAAAAGATCGAAGCAGATTCCTCGATACATTAATGTTTGACTTGTACCTGTAAATTAGCGCAATTTTGCCTATTATATTCAAATATACGCGTTGAACTTTTAGTCATATCGACGGTGTAAGTCGGCAATCACATAACTCGTTTGCGGTGTCTGAAAATCTCCGCCTCTATGTTATTTTTTTAAAGTAGAACAAATTGACATCATTCCTTGAAGTTTTTGCAGGATTTTCTTCTCACCGAGAAGAAAAATCACGGCAGTTTTAAAGAGTTGCCGTTGAGTAGTTTCCCGTTTAAAACATAAAGTATGACAGGAAGCCTGCGACGTCGCAAACCGAGTTATGTGATTGCCGACTTACACCTTCGATATAGAAAAACTACTGTATGACACCTATATTTACTATTATCCCTGTTTCAGTTGTTTGGTATCATCGTTTGGGGCTGCATATCGTCAGGAGGATACATGTATGATAAGAAGCTAGATAAGGAGGTTTGTCTATACAACAGAGATGCAAGCGCCTGCACTTTCGGCTCAGGCATCGGGTTTCTCGGCCTACTCGCTGCCGGCGGGTTCATCGCTGGGGAGTACTTTTTCACCCAAATGTCTTCAGTCAAGACCAGAAAACACTTCGTCCTAGGAGATCTAGGTTTCTCAGGTACCTATGCACTTCAAGCTTTTTGCATTCCAGCTACCATTACTTTCCAGCCGAACCTGCATTGGCGGATCCCAGCAAATTGGCAACAATGTTTTTTCTCCATTTACACCCATGGAAATGTATCGATTCTTGGAGGGGCCAGGTGCTCCAACGAGAATCGATTATTTAACATGAGCTTAAATGGAGGAAATCTGGTGTTGGCAAATTGCTGGCTTCGCTTCTGCAAACCTGAATGAAAATTCACAGCCTTGACGTAAATCGTTCTGGCCGTGGCCAAAACGATTTACGTCGATTTACGACGATCTACGTCGATTTACGTCGATTTACGTCGATAAACGTCGATTTACGTCGATTGAAGTCGATTTACGTCGATTTACGTCGAAAGAATACGCGTCAAATTTTTATCATGAAGAGGATTCATAGGAAAAATCGAAATTTTAGCCTTTGGTTCAAGTTTAAAGGGATATTTGTGCCGAAAATGATCATTCAAAATCTTAAAATAAAACTGAATGTATTGTTTCCAATTAACAATCGATATCAACACATTTAAATCAGTTGTAAAATTGTATTTTTGATTTAAATTATTTTGAGTTTTTAGGGAACGATTTTCAACACATTAACTCCTTGATTGATCTACCCTGGTAAAAATTGGCGATAGGAGCTGCGTTTCAAAATACCATAGGAGTTCTTATAGTTAGTTAGTTATTATAATTTAGAGACATTCAGCGACTCAGGCTATTAACGTCTTTACAGGTAATTTTGAAAATATATAGGAGTATAAACGAAAATTTAAGAAGGCTATCGAAAATCATATAGCTGGCTGTAGAAAGCGGAGCAAATCATATAGCCGGGCTATACGAAGCTATGAAAAAGTATACAGTCGGGCTGTAGTTCCTATCGCCAGGCTTTACACTTCATCGCCATTGGCTATTAAAGGCTATTAGAAATTGTGTAGAAATTCGTGTGCTTTGGAAATCATTAAGTTTGATACGGAACTACCTTTATATTTACAAAACACACATTATATTTTCCTTTAAAACATTTTTTTTTTTCATCAAATAAAATGAGAATAGTCCATACAGAGTGTGCAAACATTTCAAAATCATGAGTTGAAAAACGCTGACTCCACGAGATTAAATATTAGGGCCTAACACAAAGCGGAGCGGCGCGGCGACGCGACGCACTGGCGCCTACAAACCTAACAGGGATACTTCACGCATTGCGCAATGCGTGAAGTATCCCTGTTAGGTTTGTAGGCGCCAATGCGCGTTTCGCGCTCTCTGCCCGCCCGCCGCGCCGCAGCGTGCCACGGCGTCTGAAGCAACTGTTTCACACCAGAGGTATTGTACAGTATCATAAGAAATTGAAGGCTCTCCGACATATTAAGAATGACAGGCATCCTTTAAAAGTACGGAGCGGAGCTTTCCTCGCAAAATAAATCAAGATACTACGGCACAAAAAGAGAGCGGTAGTCCGAAAACTAACTAAGTCCTAGTATCCGTATTTAGTAACGTTTAGCATAAACTTTATCGTCTGGCTGTTGCTTAGACGCCATCGGCTATAAAGAGCTATAAGAAATTGTACAGCCGGCTATAGAAGCTATTGGAAATCTTCCAGTCGGCTTTAGGTCTATGGTATTTCGGAACACACATTCTACTGCCAATTTTTACCAGGGTAGAGTCTGAAACTTCGATTTTCCCGAAACAATCAGATGATTAAAATTTTAAATTTATTGACGGGGCCCAGAGCGCATTGCGCCGAAGCTGCAACGAGCTATGCAACTCGTACTTGGTGATCAGTATCAATACGAAATGGTCTGCCGAATAAAATTCGACATAAGCATATTGACGGTGAAGAATTGCAAGGACGCGTAACTCGGTTGGCGACGTAACAGACTTCCTGTCACATTGTATTTTTTAAATGCGACGTCTTATAACTCGAAAACTCTCGTGATTCTTTTGACTCCATACGAAAACCATATTTTATCCCTTGAAAATTTTAAGCAATATCATTTGGTCTTTTTCCTCCTTTGGTAAAATAAAACAAAAGCGAAAATCTTGAAACACCGTAAACGATCTAGTTTTTGCAGTTCCATCGTCGATACTGAGGGTGCGAGCATTCAAAAATTCAAGGAATATAAATTTTTTTAAAAAACCGATCATTTGGAGGCTGTATTGCAACGTTCTACGCTTAATAGCCTCAAAGTAGTTTCGCGTTGAGGGGGAGGGATGATTTTCCATATTCAAAGTTATATTCAGATCATTTCTAACGTTTTTATCTGATTTCAAATTTTCTCCGCAACATGAGAGTTTATGATGCGCAAGTCAAAATACCTGTGCCCGAGTCTCTCGATGCTTACTTTAATCCAAGTCCGATCAGATCCACGCTTTAAAATCTTAAAGCACCGTAAAAGATTCCGCCACGATGCTCAATTTTGTATAGATGAAGCGTTACGCAAAAACGTTCGAGCAAGAATTGATCTCGCTTGATCCTCGCAAAAACTTGCGACGCAATCGCTCGGCCACCGATCTCCCTTGTCACAGAGAATCGCCTCACGTTACGTAATTATTTGTGGACGTTGTCTAATGATCAGTCCACATAGTAGCTTTGCCTGGCGCCGAGATAAGTCAACTGGTCCTAGCATAGGCTATTTACATAGTCTAGTTTTCACATAAAAATTTACAAGGAAACAAAAACAAGAAGAAAAAATCCAACATGAGTATGTTGGAAAAGCGTGCCGAATAACTGAAATGTTGGACAAATACCTCTTATTTTCACGTCTTTGCTTTTTGCATCAATTGGTACTTTTTGCTAAATGGGCCTGTTGCAAACTTTTGCTAGAGCAAAAATAAGAGTTGTTTCCTATAGATAATGCCTCAAAAATCACGATGAGCGCATCGGCAAAGTCTGAAATGCACTCATAACTTCACAATCTGCGTAAGAAATTTGCGTTTTTTTGAGCTTCCCGCTTCAAAAACGATACTACGGCACAGGTGAACATTTTGTTAGAAGAGTCGCTCCATCGTCGGCAATATTCATCATGGCCGACGCTTGCGCAGTTCCGCGCGTATTTCGAGGAGAGTTCAAGGTCAATCAAGGCGGATGAGGAAAATATGAACGTAAACACGCCGATTGTTATCTGGTCTAATCCTGTTCAGGTGTTATCTCGTCCCATCACAGGTGTTTTGGCGGATTGTCGTCGGCCATGATGAGTATTGCCGACGATGGAACGACTCCTCTAATAAAATGTTCACCTGTGCCGTAGTATCGTTTTTGAAGCGGGAAGCTCAAAAAACCGCAAATTTCTAACGCAGATTGTGAAGTTATGAGTGCATTTCAGACTTTGCCGATGCGCTCATCGTGATTTTTGAGGCATTATCTATAAGAAACAACTCTTATTTTTGCTCTAGCAAAAGTTTGCAACAGGCCCATTTGGGAGAAAATATTGATTCATGAACGTTGAATGTAAATTAATTTTAAAGATTCTGTCCAATTATCTTGATTTTAAGCTGATATGCGGCATTTGCGCACGACCGTGATTTGGGCGAACTGCCGTGCATCGAAATCGCGTTCAGTTAATCTCTTTGGATTTCGAACTGTAACTTCTCTCCTATTCGGCCGATTTGTACAAATGAGGTCTCTTTTTATTTGTACTTCAACGGAAAGTAAAGAAAAACTCGCTAAATAGACGGAAAACAATTTTTGAGAAAATTTGGTGGATCCTGGCATCACGGTGAATGGTTAATCGGTTAATCGCCTCGCCGTCTTTTATTGCCTTGCTCGAGACCGGACATCCAAAGCTATATCGCGAGATAACTGTAGTGGTTTAAGTGGATTTCGGCAGGGGCCATGGTTAGTACATAGTATAATGAGTCACGAGGCTCATCACAGATTGCACTTACAGTGCAAGACGCTCATTGGCTATAGAGTTTTGGCGGGAAAGAAGGTTCTAGAGTTGAGTCCTCCGAGCGTAAGAAAGCTCCTATGAGGTTTCTGTCAAATTGAATAATACGGTTTTGACAGAAAAATGTTCTCAAGGGTTTCCAATTAGCAGTTCATTAGATTTTTTGGTAAAAGACCATCAGGGCTTGACAGTGTAATGGTTCAAAGACAAAGAAACGGGTGCGAGGAAAAAAGTATTTGGACGACCCGTTGAATAGCACTGGTTGATCTGTGTGCTGTACTATGGTACATCCGAGTGATTTCAAAAAGCGAGCCCTACTGGCACGCTTAAAATGGATGAATGCTTATCCTGATACTCTCAGCAACCTATCGGCATGGCAGGCCTGCCATAAAAAATTTTCGCCCCGCACAAAAAGTACGCGCTCTCGTGGGGCTCCGACTATGGGGGCGCCAGAAGTTTTAATGTCTCTTTATTTGTGGATGGCGTTATTTTTCGTTATCATAGAGCCAAATAAAACGTTATTCGTTGGTACCATGCATTCCCTTGTCCCTAACCAAAAAATCATCTTAGCCCCGCTAAAGTGACTTTACCAGATAACTCATGACCGCTAACCCGGGAGGGGGGTGGAGGGATTTTCTGTTTGCATGGGTGGTCATTTACCCTTACGATTATTCTCCCTAACGGTAGTACCTAAAGTTAGCAACGCATCATCATTTGAAAAAGTGAGATTTGTCTTCGCGTGGCAGAAGAACTCGACGAAAAAATTCACGAAAAAGCGAGACTTGTACGAATTTCGGGAGACCCAACGCCGCAACAGGTGTTTAATACGCACCCGTCCCGTGCCAAGCCGCACCGCACCGCGCACAGCTCCAGAATTTAACGCCACAGCGCCTAATGAGATGCGAGAGCAAATACAGTCCCGGTTTTCGGATACCCACTTCTTTCATCAGGCACTATTTTTCGTGTTTTTGTTTCCTGGCGGTGTTCTCGACCTTGACCTAAAGTATAGGAAAGATCATGGTGAAGCATCGTGGTTGAGGTGATGCTGGTTTTGACAGGATTTATTTGACCGAGATTTTAGAGCACTTTCAGAACGATTCGATGGTCGATTGTCCAATTAAAAGTTTCTAAAATTTTTAGACGTTAAATTTTTTTAGTCACATCTTGCATGTTGAAAGGCGCTTCTTATTTACATAAAAATAAGTGTAGCTGGAGCACATTACTACTGGGGGTGGCTTGGCCCCAATTTTTTGAGGAGGGTGCGAGTCTTCCCAGTACAAAAAGGGGACTCCTCCCGTGAAATATTTTGAAATCTGACAACTCTTCGATGCATTTTGAGGCGCACGCAAACTTTAGTCGTATGCAAAAATAAGGTTCAACTCTACCGATCATTTTCGGAAAAATTCTCAATCTCCCTTTTTTCCATCGCATTATGCAATGAAGTGAGAGGATGACCTGATTTTTAAGGCTATTTTCTAATGTGCGGCTTCTCAAGAGGGGAGCAGGTGATGTTATTTAAAATTTCAAGAGGGGGGTGGGGGGGTGGGCAAAGATTTACTCTGCCCATTCAGAGGTTACACTCATACGAATACACAACATTTGATCGAGAAATACTTTAAAATAACTTCAAAAGTTACTTTCAACTTCCGGATGAGTGTCTCAAATCGCTCTGTCTTCCTGTTTGCGATATTCACGAGACGTGATTTCAGGATTATTACAATAAGCTCTTCGATCAAATCTTGTGTATACTCGACGAGCTACACGTGATATAATTTTCTGAAAAAATGTCTTAAAAAAATTCGGTTGTCATGAATCGGACTTCATTTTGCAATAAGGCACTGATATTTCTGGGAAATTCATTGAAGCACCTTCATTTCTGCATAAGACTAACTAATAGCGCATGCTTTTCTTTCAAAACATCCGAAATAGTAGTTCTCGTTGCAAACTGTAGACCAATTGATCGATCGACTAACAAAATCGTTTATCAGACTACCGATGATCCACCTCAATTGATACCTAAGTAGCGAAAGCATGGTTCATAGAATTTTAATAAGAGATTTTTGCTCGTTGGGTTTACTTCTAATTCGGAAGTGACAAATAAAGGAGAGCAGATGCGTGTTTGCGTCACCCAAAAATCTTTCCATTTTTTTGAAATAAATATTTCGTATTTTAAAACAGTTAGGAAGTAGCATTACACGTTCTGTTGTTTCAATGCTCCCAAAACACAATGCATGTAGACGAGTTGCGATCGTTGCTGTATCAGATGAATCATCGCATGTATGTGATGCACAGAGACGGATGAATTATGACTTCAAAATAGTTCTGATGGTGGCATGACAACGTGGATTGATTCATACGGCGTATGCAGTAGGCACATTTTAGAGTCTCTGGGGGTGCTTGAAAAAGCCGCTATATTTTTTGGCAGGGAAACGGGAGATAGTATACTGATTTTAAAGTCGAAAGATGTGTACCTCCGATTACAATGTCACAAATCTTCGCTTGTTTTTTTTTATTTTTAAAAGTAAATCAGGGAACAGATTTTTTTTGAAAAGAGAGGTATCAATAAGGACCTCCCCCCCTCCCCCCAGAATCTGGAAATATACGCGGGTTTTCCAAGTTGACTCACTGTAGTTTACGAAAATAATCATAATTTGGTCCATAAGCCATTAGATACGTGTTAAACGGTTGCCTGAACATGGGTCTGCAGGCGCATTTTAGCGAAAAATGCGTGTTTTTCTATCACTCCGAGGCTTTTTTGACACCGAGCACATCGTCTAACTAAAACGAGCGTTTGATTTGTTATCCAGGAGGCTTTAGGACACATTTTAAGCCTGGTTTGGTTGTAGTTAGATGATGTGCTCTAGGGTGCTAAAAAAGGCGCTTATCAATACCCCTCCTTTTCCCTGAATTTTCCTCATTTGTGTAATTTTATCGAACAAATAATCCAGGAAAATATGTTTGATAGTTTCCGATAGAAAAAATTCAACCTAATTGGATGTCTTAAAACGTTGCGATAAAGATACGCATTTCTAGACTTCAGCCATTAATATAGAATCTCCCACGAGACATAATTATTATAATGAAATGTAATATGGAGGCAGACAAATTGGTTTTTATGATGAGAACAAATGAAAATTAGATAACTGCAGTGATGACCTTAAGAGCGTTTTATTGACACCAAAAAAAAATTAAACTCGATGTTGTCGACTCCAAATCGGCCATCCCGTAATTAACAGTCTTAGGTTCCCATTTTCACCGATGGTTTGGTTCTTCGGCCTGATTAGATCGCAGATGAAAATTTCTCCTTTATTCCAACTCGTTTGATCACTTGTTTTCAGGCGCTTGGGCATTTTTGTACTTTATATCATTCTGTTACTTGGCAAATCAATGGAGTGACATGGACGCGCTGCCAGAGGATGTTGGGACTGGAAATGTTTTCGCCGCCATAGTCTTCTCTTTCTTTTCAATTTTCTCTTGGGTAAGTAAAGAAAACTCAAGGTTTTTGTTGGTATTGTCGTTATTAGTGTGATCTTCTCATATTTTTTGCGTAGAGGGTGTTCTTTTATCTTTCAATTCCTCATTATACTTTACACCTTCATACGCTCATAATTTTTTTTTATTTTTTTTATAATTCACATCTAAGTACCTATAAATGCTATGTTACCTATTTATTTCATTTATTTTTGACGCCTGTTCATATTTTAACTAGAGCGCGTGTATGCCAGTTATTACAGTTGTTCTTTGGACGATGAGCATCCAATGTCAAGGGAATCCCAAACAATGCCATAGACATTTGGAGGTATTACAGTGCTCCGTGTAAAGTCTTGGAACTTCCTCTATCTACCTATGAAAAACACAATGCTGAAACGATTTCCTGTAGACTTCCAAAGTATATGGATATGAGTACCATTCAAGTCACTGATGTTGGCTAGGGTTCGGTCAAACCCTTTTAACGATGGGATCTTCACTGGGTTATAAAAGTTAGCCACTCTGTACTAAATGTTACCCAAAATAATGCGAATTTTTAGTTTTTGATTCGAAAACATCCAGAAAGAGAAAAATACCTCTAGTCGGTCAATTTTTGAAGATGCGACCTATTCTTGTCCATCCGTTCAAGAAGAAGATAAGATAAGTCACGCTCTGTAGCTCACTTGAAGCGCAATTTCTTCGTCCCGTTGCATGATCGAAGTGCTTTATTTGCCTTCATTTTGACGGTTAGGCAAGATATAGTATTTAGACGGTAAAATAACGGCTTCCTTAGAGATTTGATCGTTAGTATGTCCTCCGATCTTATGGAGGCTTAGAGAATGTGAATCTCTTTACATTTCGTTGAAATAGAATAAACTATGATTGAAAGTGAATGTACTCTCAAGTTTTCTCCGGAATCGTATTACACAGTGAGAAGTCTAACTATTATCTCGCTACCTGGTTGGTTTATGTTATGACTACTTGGCGACATTAAAGGCTAACAGGCCCGGACTTAGGGCGTGTGCAGGGCGTGCGGCGCACACGGGCGCCAGCCTTTGGGGGCGCCATGATAGAAGAAGAGAGGGAAAAAAAGGGGGGAAAAGGAAAAGTAAAAAAAGAGAAGAAAGGAAAAGGGGGAAAAGGAAAAGGAAACAAGGTTGGGCAGTGAAAGCAGGCATTTTTATCTCAATTTTTTGGCATCTTTAATCTGCTATAGTTTTTTAAGGATTTTAGAAATGAAAATGTACGAGGTACCTTGTTTTAGCCTTCGCTTTTTGCCTGTAAATGCCATGAAAACCTTTGTTGATGTTTCACAGGGGTAGGAATCATGTGCGCATTCAAGAAGAGAAACATTCTGTTGGAATACCAAGCATTACGATCAGCACTTTCTGTTTTGGATTTTCATTTTAGAATGTTTACATTTTTATATTCAACACATATAGAATGTAATTTTCCGGCGGCTCATCAAAAGTTTACATGGAATACCTACTGTCAGTTAACAAATATCCTGGCTTAAAATTTCTTCACTATAAATACTTATGAGTGTGAAGTTGCTATTTTTGAAGAAACGGGTTACTTGTTCCTGCGAAAAATAGTTTTTCATAACCCGCAATACAATGCTCTGGTTTCTAACAATCGTGATTTTCAAATTTTGAAGATTTGACTGGAAAGAGTTACCCTAATACTACGTTTCACAAAAACCGACAGGAACCGAGATGACATTTTGGGCCACGGCCGCCATCTTGGGTTTACGAATTTCGGAAATTTGACCAGGAATTTGAGTTTCCCGTCGAAAAATACCCCGTGATACCGAGTTTCAGCGAACTCTAACGAAGAGAAACCGAGATAGCATATAAGGCCACGTACGCCATCTTGGATTTGAGAATTTTTAAACATAGTAAAAATTCGAGTTTCCGGTCGAAAAATTCCCTCAGACACCGAATTTCAGAAAAATCCATCGAACAGGAGCCGAGATAGCATTTTAAGCCATTTCAGATTTTCGAATTTTGAATTTTTTGAATTTTGACGGATTTTGATTTAAAACGCGTGATCCCCAAAATCGAAGCTCAGATTCGGATTCCTCGTAAAAAATCGATGCTATTTCATGTATCATACCCTGACACCGAATTTCAGGAAAATCCATCGAACAGGAGCCGAGATGGCATTTTAAGCCACGTCAGTCATTTCAGATTTTCGAATTTGGAAAATTTGACTTAAAACGCGTAATACCAAAAATCGAAGTTCAGATTCGGATTCCTCGTTAAAAATTGATACAATTTCATGTATCATACCCGAGCATAGCGTGAAGGAAAGAGACGTAACGTAGACATACTGATTCGAGCATATGAATTCAACGTGGCAACATGGGTAGTGCTCAGTGGGTCAGCGGAGGAGGAAGAATAAGAATTTATCGTGTGGAATTCCTCGGGACGAAACCGAACGCTAAGCGCCGCGGCGGCGTAGTTCAAAGGGAAAGTATGACAGAATCTACACGCGTCGTTAAACCTTTTTCCTTCACGCTATTTTAACATATGATACATGAAATCTCATCAATTTTTCACGAGGAATTCGAGTCTGAGCTTAGATTTTGGATATTACGCGTTTTAATCTATTTAAAATCGTAAGAGAATTTACAGAATTGTCCTTGAAAATTGATCACACATTAGTGTTTTTTTACGCCATTAAACCTCTTTCCTTCACGCTATTCTAAGATATGATACATAAAATCTCATCAATTTTTCACGAGGAATCCGAATCTGAGCTTAGATTTTCGATATTACGCGTTTTAATCTATTTAAAATCGTAGGAGAAACTACAGAATTGTCCTTGAAAATTGATCACACATTAGTGATTTTTTACCCCGTTTTTCTTCTACGTTCACGTAATGAAATTAGATCAACAGTTGACTCATCGACTAGTCTAGCCTAACCCCCCAGAATCGGTCTAAAGGGCGAACGATTTTATCAGATAAGATGTGCGGTCCTAGTTTCCGGGCAATTGCGGTTTGATGGAAGCTGCGATGAGGAGAAACGGAAGATATGCGAAGCTCGGGCGGATATTAAATGAGAAACCAGGTAGGTGAAAGGCTTCCTTCCCGAAAAGTTAGTGCTCGGGCCAACTTGCATGGTCACTGGAGCATTGTATAGCAGGTTGTGGGAAACTATTTTTTTGCAGCAACAACCAATTGGATTGCATTTTGCAAAAAGGAACTAAGAGCATATCAATGTTGCTGGGATTGTGCAACTTAGGTACATTCTTTGCAAAAAGTAAACTTTGTGACGGTAATTTTCGTCTTGAATTCATAGTTTATTGGGAGTAGAGGTGAAACTAGTTTAGATGATCGTTTGAGTTTGCAAGGTTAGCACAAATGTGTTGACATTTCATGCATTGGTTAATTTTTTTGTAGAAAAAACACAAAAAACCTCAGTCCCTCCTCCTTTTTTATTTGTAAGAAAATTGAAAGAGGAAAAAATATGAAAATGGAGGCAAGACGAGTGTTCCGAAAATTTTTTAAGGATAGTACTCAAAGGGTTAAGAAAGATAACAAAGCAAACAAAAATTAAAAAAAAAAAAAACATTAAAATAATCCAATTAAATAAAAGAAAGTATGGGAAAGCAAAAAGTTAGGGGTGTCCTCAGCCAAGTTGGCACTTGTTTACATCATGCTTCCAAGCGACCGTGATGTAATCGTCCAATAGCGATCGAGGATTGAACGCGATCCGATCATTATCCTCAATCTCTATTGGGCGACTGATTGCGGTCGCTTGCAGAAGGAATGTAAATGAGTGCCAACTCTGATGACGGCACCTCTATGAAAATTTATTTTTGAAAGAACGGAGAAAAATATAGCGTTATAAGTGACGCAACGCGCCCGAAACCCCCTCCGCCCTTCCTTAACGCACTCGTAACGCAAACTCATGATTCTCCTCCCAGAGCGTCACGTATCTTATGTACAAATCCTCACGGTGAGGCGCGGATGATTCTCGAAAGATTTTTTTTTTTATTATTATTATTATCAAGAAAAGCGGGTTCTTGAAATTACAAGTACAAGTGCAAGTGTGTGTAAGTACATAATGAGAATATTGAGTATTTAATCTATAGAAAATGAAAGATAGAGCATAAATGTCAATGTTACCTTAGGTCATAGAGTGCATAGAGTCGTAATGTAAGTGGGAGAGCTGGCGCCACTTTTAAGCTTTTTCCATGTCCCGAATTCCGAGACTCCTGTGTGACGCCGGGTCACTTTTTCGATACATAATCGATTGTTTGCGATACACGGGTACCCGGCCATCCGATGACAACAACAACAACAACAACAACAACAACAACAACAACAACAACAACAACAACAACAACAACAACAACAACAACAACAACAACAACAAAGGAGATAGAAATCACCACGTATTCCACACCGCCATTTTGGATCGGAAATGTATCGAAAAAGTGACCCGAACTCGGCGCGCACCGGGCTCGGAATTCGTCGAGCAGAACATGGCGCCAGCTCTTCCATTTACATTACGACTCGATGTACTCTATGCCTTAGGAGAGCTAAAAGTCAGAGATTAATCCTAACGCTATCAGTATAAGAAGTTCAGTGCTTGTCAAATCATGTTAAGATTGTACAAAATGTAAATAATTGAAAGTTTAGCTAATGTTAATTACCTTTATCTTCAAAATTATATTAGTAAAAAGTGCAAAATTAATTTGTCTATGTGTCTGCTTCTCGAGACACGTCGGGATCACCGTCGGGTATATCATCGCATCGGCTGGCTGTTCTCGAGAGATGGTATGCGTATTTTTCCTATTTTAACTCCATGATACGTAACCGATCGTTTTTCATACCAACATTTGAATAAGTGAAATTCGTTGTTGTCAACTTTCAAGAATCGGTTATGGAGGAGGGACAGCAATATAAATCCTCACTTTCCATTGCTTCGTTTTTCAGGCAGGAGCCGCGTGGTTTGCCTACCAGCGATTTAAACAAGGCGTCGATCCTGCTTTCGCTTCCACTTATGAGGCAGACCAAGCTCAATACAGCTCTTATCCGGATGCAGAAGGGGGCTACCAGGAGCCTCCATTCAGCGGAAATCAAAACCAAGGTACGAAAATTTTAATCTATATTGAAACGGACTTGTTTTTAAGAATAAGGTACACTTGTGGTCACACCTTTTTAACGGCTTGGCCGCAGCGCACAATGGATCGAGAGAGTTTGAGAGGTCGGACAAAATTCGGAAACTTTAAACGCTTATACAGTAGCCGCTCAATAATTCGAAAAGTTCGGTAATGCGACGCCGATCCCCGTGGGGAAGTCTCGTCAATTCGAAAAATTCAGTGTGCTTTTACCCCCTCGGTAATTCGAATTTTTCGGCGGGGAAACGCCTAGTGAAAAGCTCTGTAATTCGAAATATCTGTGCCGGGCGCTCTATAGTTCGAAGTCTCGAGGTGGTTGTTTCGATGCACATGCATATGTCAATGCCTGACGGACGGAGAACTGAGGAATTTACGATTAAATCCTCTGATTATCTGATTCGAATTACAGAGCGTTCGGTTCCACCACTTCGAATTATAGAGCTAATTTGAAACTCCCTTTATTTCGAATTTTTTCGTAACCCCTCTCCATAATTCAAAATCTCGCCGATTAAAAAACTCGTTATTTCGAAGAAAATCCCTGGTCCCTCCAACTCCGAATTATCGAGCAGCTACTGTTACTCCGTTTATACAAAACTTTGAGGTTCTAAAGGTGGCTTCATTGGTTTCTTTGTGAAATTTTCTGATATACGGGCCCCGTGAACTTCAAAATATGAAGAAATAAACAGCAAAATTTGCGGTTTTGTCAAAAATTTCAGGCCCGACCTCTCTAATTGGCTCGATCCACTGTGCGGCGGAACATGCGAGAGGCAAGTATGTTTGAAGGTATTAGAGCTCCAGGAGTTTAATCAGTAATGTTATTTCACCTCAACCTTGGTGGTGGAGGGAAAGTGACCTGATACGACCCCTAACCTGATACCTAAGTAAAGAAAAAAAATCAAGTTTCCAGCATTTCGATCCAATTCTTTTCATTTATCTAAGCCTTTTGAGAATCGCGACAAAAATTAGTGATTGCTTACTTCATCAGCAGAACAGACAATGCTGGAATCAGGTTAAGGTGTGAAAGAAACAATGCAATTAAAGCGCCCTCAGTAAGTATCGAATGCGACGAACACCGAACGCAGGTTTCACTATAGCACCTGCATGCAACTATTCGGGCTCTTAGGATGTCCGCGTTGTATACGCTCGGGATTGAAGGCGTTTTGATTTATCCTAAACCCACTACTTTAACTGTTTGGCTGTATGCAAAATGACAGAGTGTCTGGTCTATAGGATGCGGAATTAAGATTTCTAATGCAATTTTTCTTTTAAAATTTCACTTAAAACACGAATCAAGCTGCGAAAATAACCGTTTTAAATCCTAAAGAAAATAATTTGGAATTTTGGCGATGAAACTTGTTTCATAATGCTTTAATTCGTGCCTTGTCTTAGACAAGGCACAAATTAAAGCACGAGTGGTCCATTCTTCGTTCAGACAATAAAGGCATCGCATAGGCATATAGCGTCGCTCCTCTAACGTAAGGGCGTGTCTCGATTTTCACGTGAGCCCTGTTCCTCGTATGGCTCTATCGGGGTCGGACTGGCTCGCATCTGAGAGCGTAGACCTTCGCTGGTTAAAGGGGTGTAATGTGATCTTTCCTGGTAGGACATCCCCTACGAGGAGAGGGGTTCAGAAAATTTTGGCAAAGCAGCACAAGTTTACGTTATTTTCAGGTTCAAAGTTTATTAATCGTACAGAGTAAAAATTGCAAAATTGAACGTTTTGAAGTAACCGACAGACTTCTGAAATTAAAGGAAACATAAAAAATTAAAGCCACCAGACGGACCCAAGCACCATTATTTCCAAAAGAACCGAGCCAGTGCTGCGGTTACACAAGTTGAAGACTTGGGTCTGTGTATCCATCCTAAAAACCAATCAGGCATGAACCTGAAAAAAGAAAAAAGAAGAAAGAACGAGTATCAACATAGCCGAATGAAGGTAGAAGAGATGTGTTCGGGCCTCTTTTTTAACTTTTCTCCCGAATCTGAGCGACACCTCATTGACAGCATGACAGCATATAGCAGAGCATTGAGAGCTCACGTTTCGCATCATCGCGCCTTCAATTTTTCAGATGCAGCGCGGACGTCCATCAAGTACGAATAGTTGTATCTCTGCGCCGTCGTTAACGCTCATCCTTTCCCTCGCTTTATTTCCACATTGTGTTTGTTTGCGTTTGTCTTATTCGTAATGGTGCTTCAATTTAGTAGTATAGAGCAGAGCATTGCGAGTTCACGACTCATGCCATCGCGTCTTGAGAGATGTCTTTGTAGCAAAATGGAATAATGGAGATGTTGCATGTGTGAGGAATTTGCAATTTGACTATTGATTCTTACGTATAAGTTCGAGAGAAACACGATGGTGCCCCTGGTTTTCTCTGAAATCAACTCCCAAGCTCAAAAAAGCTCTCAAGTTGAGGCCAAAATGGAGGCCAAATGAATACATTAGCAGTGATGCCGTGTTTTCAGTTTTAGAGATGCCCCGAATAAAGTGGCAGCCCTGTCGATGTATTTGCTCCCTATCTTTGCATGGAGAGTTTGTCTTGATGTTGATGTGGACTCTCAGGATAGTGTGGGATATCCCCTCCATGTTGACCTCAACTTGAGAGCTTTTTTTGAGCTTGGGAGTTGATTAGAGTACCTATATTGAGAGAGTATGGCCACTGGAGTTACCACCTCTGATTGGCTCAGCCATCTTAGGCTGAATGGAGCCCTTAGGACCCGAAAATGGCGGACGCCATAAAGTTAATGTAATGCAAAATGATTCAAAATGTAGTTGTCTTTGCTTATCGTAACGAGAACTTTACCAAAATGCACTATTGCGACTTTTTTACATATTTTTAAGGCTAATCGTGTGCAGTTTTTGAGAAAAATGATCTTAGATGTAGTAAGGTTGGCAGCAAGTGCGGTTGGTGATAACCGTCAAAAGTTGGCAATGACCCCCCTCCCATCCTCAAAAACCAAAACAAAGCACCGCCATTTTTGGGTCCTAAGCTTCTCCATGGGACCCAGTGGCCATACTCTCTTAATATAGGTACTCTAGAGTTGATTTCAGAGAAAACCAGTGGTACCATCGTGTTTCTCGCGAATTTTTTCGTAAGTAATAATAGTCAAATCGCAAATTCTTCAAACATGCAACATCTCCATTGAAGGCGCTTTGTAATTTTGGATCCTCGCAGTGCAAGCGGCTGTGCAGCCCGCGTCCGCCGAGCCGCGTCGCAAATGAATTAGTGGGCTCTTGGAGAATCAAAACGCCTTCGTTTACGTGTGTATGCAACACGGATATCCTAAGAGCCCGAATAGTTGCATCGAGGCGTTATAATAGGTACAAGTTAAGTGTTCGTCGCATGCGATTCTCACTGGAAGCGCTTTGGTTATTTATTTTACATCTTAACTTATGTAATTCCAGCGTCATCTGTTGTGCCAATGAAGTAATCTACTACTGATTTTTATTTGGCTATCGTCAATTTTCCGATGAATGCATTTTTTTGTTAAATGTATTAAAACGTTGTCCACCTGAAATGAGGTCAGCGGCCCTAAGCTAAAAACGGCGAATGCAGCAGAGTCGTTTAATGGACACTTCCTGTCAAATTTTCGAGCAATTTTGACATTTTATAATTTACCCATTCCTCATTTTATTCTTTAAAATCTTTTATTGGAAGATTTTGAGTCGTACTCGATGAAGATGTGATTTCTTTACTACATATTTCAAACATGTGGTATCTTTCAGGTGGCGGTGATTATCAGGCTCCAGCTTACTAAATCGAACCAGCAGAAATCTAAAATCACTCAAATGAACGTCAGATATGAAATTTTTGTTGATTACCTATTGTAGCTGTTGCAATAATTTGTTGTTAATTCGTAAAGTAATTACCTAAGTACTCAATGTAATAATCTTGGTGGCAATGCATACCCTTTTTCAAACCAATACCTGTAACTCTTTGATCTTACTTTGTAACTATTAGGTGATAGATAAGATTGCGCTACGCATGATCAGGTATTTTTGTTCTCTTGTTACCTACGTTTTATTTTTTATACAAATATATAGGTATCTTTTATTTTGTCTTAGGTAGGTTAATTTATCTGAAGAAGAGACTCCCTCCCTCATTTCCGATTATGCGGCAATATTGCCTTTTTACCTTTCCTTCCTCTAGAATTTTCAGATTACCTATTTCAATACTTTTTAGGAATCACCCTTCAGTTCCTCTACGTACATTCTTGATAGGTTATCAATCATACGTTGGCACTTTTTTCTTGGACACTCATTTAAATTGCTTATTGTTCTCATTAGAGTTAGTAGGTAGTAAAAGTATCAAGAATTAGTAACAAGGTTGTGAGGTCAGGGCCCTTTTCTTGCAAGGAGACAGAGAAAAATCGGAATTGCGTGTATCTTAACTTTCCGCGTATGATCATCATCTAATGATGTGTTTCCTGATTACTTTATTTCCCGCTAATCATGATTGGAACGGTCTGTCGGAAGAAGGATTTTAATTTTGAAGGATGGGCATTTCAAGACCTTTGTTCGGACTACTCAACCTACACACGGACATATTCTGCCGTGCTAATGCGCACAGAAAAAAAATGAAAGAGTGTAAAATCTGAGCATAGATGGATACCATCGTGGCCTTTATAAACCAATGGAACATCCCCTCGAACTGTTCGAGAGAATGGATGGTAGTTCTGTCCGACTGATTTTAATTTTAAGATCCAAATTAGCCCTGCCCTCACAACCTAGCAAAGTGACCGAAATAGTTAAAACCTACTTTCTACTATCGGCATGAAGTACCTGCTTCCTCCTTTGTAAAAATTACTTTTTTTAAACCAAATTTTCATTTAGGTCAAACGTTTTGCTTAATCCTTTGTTAACTGAATTACAAAAGTTCACCTTAATTGTAGAGACAGCGTTTCCGTTCTTTTCAGTGTATTTTCCAAGGGAACTACACTATTCTATTTTTTTGTTTTTAAGCTCGCTGGCACGCGATTACGCTGCTCGTAACTGGATTTTCTCCTCCTAAAATAAGTCTCGATGAATAATAATACTGGTTTTAGAAATGAAACAAGAGCAAATTTTAAATGATTTTTGGGCTTTGTAGAGTAATAAACCTTCGATTTTAAATGACGAGTAATGTGTATTTAAATGCACATAAATTGCAACTTATTGTGAGCCCGTTAAACGTGCGGATATGTTCCCTGGTACTGATTCCGAAAAGAACTTAACTAGCGTTTTCAATGACATTTATTTCATACAAACTGTCATTGTTTTTGATGTAAAGCTCAATTCATTCCCATACTTCGGATGCCCGAGCCAATCTGTGTTATGACCAATCATCGCCGTGAAAACTTTCAAGGGAACATGTGGTACCATTTTATGGTACCTTGCTCTTTGAAGCACGCGAATGGTAAAATGCACAACATGCACATTCAATATCCATCGAAAATTGGAGAAGTATAAAGTACCTATAAACCCCTCTACCGAAAAGACAAATAAATGCATTTTTAGTAAAATGTCTATAGTTACTGAGCTTTCTTGTTGTTACTCACTTGTATTTTTAGATGAATAATTTTTAGATTAGTCGACACGACTATGCAGGTTCTTGAAGTAGACATCCAAAACTACTTTGTTCATACCAGTCTCTCCGCAAATTCATGCATGCATTCTTTTTGTCCTTCAAAAGTACCTAAGTGAAAGAAGAGATTCATTTGACTATACAATAAATTCGGTGTTATTTTTTAAGATAATCAACATGCAGGTTTGTTTGGTCAGTTAATGGGAAGGGACGAAGATTCCTGATCATCATTAAGCTGCCTATTTTTTATGAAATTTTTTTTGTCGATAATATGAGAACTGGCGCGGAAGTATCTTCTACTGTTTCTACTCACACATTACTTTTTGATGATTAACTTAATTGTGATGGGATGTGTACGTGTAAGTTCGTAAAAATTTTAAAATTAGGAAGAGTGAGGAAGAGTTTGGCATTAGCGGCCTGCCAAAAAAGGAACAAAAAGGCCAAACAAATGTTTAAATGGGAAAGATCATACACTTGAGCTGTTTTACGATGGTAGAGATTTTTCAGGAGTTTTCTTTCTCTTCACCATATTTCCGGCATGATACTATTATTATTTAATATGTCAGATAATATTTGATAAACTGTTAAGCTCAAAAAGATGGTTAAAAACTGTCTTGTTGTAAGACTCGAATTGATTCCAATTAGGAAAATTTCAAACTTGGTTTGAATGGACATTCATCACATTTATCCAAAATATCAAGGAGGGTTGAAATTTTACTGCCACTGTTAGAACTCACACGGTTGCGTGTTGCAAATTAAAGTATTTTTATTACATCGTTCACTCATGATACCTATTTAAAAGAGATAAAATGTACCTAGTTATCATTATGGTCACTCCGGTCATGTTACTATCATATTCATTATTATCACCATCATCATCATTATCAACATTATTACTATCATCATCATCATTATCATCATCACCATCATCATTATCATCATCATCATTATTATCATCAACAACAACATTGTCATCAACATTATCATCATCATCAACATTATCTGCATCATCATGACCATCATCATCAGTATTATTGGTATTATAATTTTTTCCTAAACCCATAGAGCAGCTGCTTTTATTGTCTCTCTATCTGCTCACGGATACTTTTCCTTGCAAAGTTGAGGTAAAAATATGCGGACGTTTTGTTAATGCTTTGGCGATTCTCGCAAGTTGGCAACACTGTTTTTTATGCACGTAAATGTATGGAAAACAATCGACTCCTGGTGAGGCAGCATGCCTCACTTAAAATCGATATTTTTAATGGATTCTAATTGAGGAATAACAGTGTTGCCAACTTGCAAAATCGTCACTGTCTTAATGCACGCAAAGCTCTCACCGCGGAAGAAGTCATTCTTCATGATGCATATTTCAAAAACTTTGAGACGAAACAATATCCTTTTTAGTGGAATATATTAATTGGTGTTCCAGAAAATTGTGCACACACAATTAATTAATCGATACCGTGAGATTTCTTTTACACAGATTTTAATATTTCTCCAGAGGGTTCAAAATGCCAGTAAAAAAATGTACGTACACAGCAAAGGCCCCCGCATGTCACTTGTGTTCGTCAAAGAGTCATGCCTCGAAAGTAAAAGTTCATTGAGTATCGAAAATAATTAATAAAATCTGTCTAAAAGCCCAGTTTCTGCAATCAGTTAAAGAAGACGTCTTTCCGAAAAATACGGTACGTCATCCATCATAATAAGTGCATACCGTACCTAAGAATACTCCCGATCCATCACCACTCATCGATCAACATATTCTCATTAATGAAATTGATCCACGTGTATCACTGATAAATCCATTGTGGGAAAAATCAAAGTACGAATAACGTTAAACGCCGTTTCTCGAGATGAGCCGACCGACATTTCCGTGTAACTAATGAACGAAAAACCTTGGAATTTTGACAAAGTTCATTACTTTTTCTCGAATTTTTAAGCTCCAATCAGTAAATTACGATCAGGTATGTGACTAGCGCAATTGACTGACGCATTACATGAAGTTAGCCATAATGTGTTTAAATTTCAATCAAATAATTTTCTGAGTTTTATTTCTAACAAACTGAGCATAATACTATTGATAAAACTAATTTTTTGTTTTACATGGATTATTTGAGCTACAGCCTAATCGACAAGAGGAAATTATTATTTTTCTTATAATGAACACGTTAAAGGTAATGTGAAGCATTTGTCACTTTTACAGATGTGATTTCTCACACCTAAAGAAGTAAAATACATATATGAATTCGGAACTTTCGAGCTTAATCTGTGCATTTTTACCTCGTGTTGACTCTTATCAAGAATTTGTGTATCGGTTGAATTTTTAGATACCTACATGAGCATGGAAATAAAGTTTACCTTAAAACATCTTTTAATCGACTGAAGTTGAAGTAATCTGCGGGCAGGTATGATGTAATTTATCGGTGTGTTTGTTATGTGATTATTACTAATTTTTTTTCCATTATCAATTTTCTTTTTTGTTATCAGATTGTACATACATGTAAACATTAGTTACCAAAAAAAAATTAAAGAAGTAACAATAAAACATTACTGTAAAAAAAATTATACAAAAAAACGATATCGTTAAATAAAAAGGTAAAAATAAACGGCAGTGTGTTCAATTATTATTGCACCCTTGTCAGTTGTGATGTAGCCACAAACATTTGCTTTCAGGTGGGAGAAAAAATTGAATAACTTAGACAAATTAAAAAGGTTACTCCTCTATTTCTTGGCGCAAAGAACACTGGAAAATCCTCAAAATTGACCCTTCGAGAGGATTTCAAAGGAAAAGAGAGAAAGAAAAAAAATCACGATTTTTTTTTTAAACAGGCGAAAGTTCTGGTACCACGCTAGCTATAGAAATAATTTAATTAAAGCGCTTTTAAAATCATTAATAATGCGAGGCTTGGCCTGAAATCCTAACCCAATTCAGACGTTTCAGAGTATTCCTACCCTTTCAAAGTATCAGAGAGTCTTTATCATCGAAGACTAAAAATTGATATTTTTGACCCCAAAATTGGTTTTTTGGCTTTAATGTATATTCATGCGAAGCTGAATGTAAAGAAACATTTTGTCTGAATTTATCATCACTACAGAGTTTGAATCAGAAGAATAACAAGAGTATAAGACCAAAGAGAATCAAAGAGATCTTTTCAGAGAATGAATTCAAATTATGGGCTGGTGCTTACAAATATGTCAGTAGTACTTACGTAAAACGTACTCAGTTTTTTCCTATCTCGTGGGTGACGGATCAAAAACACGTATATCCATTTTTGACGATTTTGAGTTAGCTGAATTAAAGTATATTAGGAGATATATTTTATCTCCGCCTAAGAGATTAGGGCCGAAAAAAGTCGGGAAGTTTCTTAAAAACGACGCAAAATGTTAACGGGTATCTACGGCTTAGTTCCAAAAATACGTATTACCAAACCTCGTCCAGAGCGCCTTTCTTTCGTGGGCTATGCAACTATTCGTGCGTCTACCCGGGCCATCATTAAAAAGCTTAACCAACCAGGCCCGCCACAAGGGGGGGGGGGATACTGGGTCCCTGGTACCGGGGCCCGTTTTACCCGTGAAAAACCACTACGAATTCACATGCAACCCTTGTTTCGTAAGAAAAAGTGAAAAATTTACCCTAAAAATTTCGCATAAGGTGAATAGATTTTCAGAAACACGCTGGGGCACTGTAGAATTCTTCTTAAATTTTCAAAGAAGTATACTTCCTGGAAAATTTCTATCTATTTTCAAGATTTTCAGTACAGAGGGATATTTTTAGTAGCTGCGTTTCATTTTCTTCCGTCGTCAGATGCTAAGAGTCTCCAGTCTGGGCATCCTCGACTTCAATGGGTCATGGCTCAACTCCCTTGCCATAGACAAACGAAGGGGGAGTCCAGAGGGGCCTAGCCCTCTTAGAACTGAAAATAGTATCATATGCCCCCCCCCCCAAAAAAAAAAGATAAAAATTTTCCAGATGTTTTGAATGCAACAATTTGCAAGTATTTTGTGCTGAAAGTAGAAAAAAAAACATAATTATTCCGCAGAAATTGATGGAAAAATTCTTTATGGAAGCTTCAAAATGCGTCCGATTAGTCGTATTAATTCTCAAATTTCTCGGGGGATGCCCCTCGGACCCTCCCCCCTCCGTGCTTAGGGCTCGGACCTTAAAACTGGTACCAGGGCCCGAGATGGGATGTGGCGGGCCTGTTCCAACTGGAGGGAAGTTAGGAAGTTTTTTCACATTCCTGAAAAATCGTGTTTTCGGAGATACGTGTTTTTGATCTGTCACCCGCGACATGCCATGTTGAACTTTATCTCTCTGCTTGTTTTTCCTGCTAAGGACGAGAAATGAGACGGACATCGGTCGCTAGAAATATTTGATGCTAGCACTGAGGTATCACTAGATATTGAAGGCGTTTTACATGAGACGAGTATCAGACAGGACCAGAGTATTTTCAAGCACAAATTGTAAGCCCATAAAAAACGCTCATGTGACAATGCACCACCGAATCAATAATATTAGAGACGCCTTGGCTCGGAACGAAAAGGAGAAATGTCAAAATGAGAAAATATCTAAATGTTTTTACAAGGTTTTATTAGATAAAAATTCTGAAATAATTTTTGCAATAGAACCCCCAAAAAAGTATGTTGGAGTTTATAAATATAGGAATAGCATTTTATGAGAAACCCGTTGCGATTATTCAAAGTGATGTCAATGCCTCTTCATTGGAGCAAGTCTTATTTGATATTGACTCAGATAGGCAGCATACTTTTATACGTAAGTGTTTTTGATAGGATATCAATGACTAAACCCCCCAAACTTAATTATACAGCGTTACAAAATCTCCGTTCAATTTGTATCTCTTTAAGGAAAAATTACAAAGATTATGAGCTTGAAATTATTATGGAGCAATTAATTAAGAGGAGAGAGGAAAAATCAAAGAAAATTCCAAGGAATAATAGCGACTTGCTTTCCTTTTAGAAAATAAAATAATACAAAATATTTGCGATGTTAAATTATGACAACGTCACGGTTCAAGTGAGAGTGAGATATTTTTTGTGCGTTCCTTGCCGGCATTGTGTAGAGATGGCATTTAGTGGTGCTTATAGGAAATTTTACAAAAAAATCAATGAAACCACTTCTAAAACCTCCACGTTCCGTATCAACATCGATGTGAGCTCTCAATGTCTCTACCTTTTGTCCGACTCCTCTCAAGGACTCGCTCCACTGAGCGCCGCTTGCATGGTAGGCAGTGTCTGAAGTCAAAACGCCTTCACTTTGATGCGTATGCAACACGGACATCCATGGAGCCCGAATAGTTGCATCCAGGCGTTATGATGAAACTGAGGATGAGAGGATACAACATCCCAAATGGAGATACGTAGCATCGCACTTCAGCCATCGATTTGATTTCTCAGGCGCAATGGCGAAACTGCATTACAATGAAGTTTGGTAAATGTATTGGTGCAATATATACTATGCATTTCTTGTCTATCGACCCAAAGATCATCTGGTAAATTGCATCTTGTAATTTTATCTAGCAATTAGGTGTCGCAGAGCGGCCGGGCGCGGGTAAAAGCGATTTTTATGTATGGTTGGTTGGTTGGTAGATACGTTTATTTGGTGCTTTTAACATTTAAGCCATTAACACCTAGAGGAGAGATACAAATAGTGTAATATACAGAATTTAAAAATTTAAAAGTATGGTTGGCTGGTTGGTGGACACGTTTATTTGGTGTTTTTATCATTTGAGCCATTAACACCTTAGAGGAGAGATCATAATAGTGTAGTACAGAATTTAAAAAGTGGGGTCACAAAAGTGTGTATGTATGTATAGTTAGTTAATTAATATATTTTAAGACATTCAGCGTCACATGCAGGCTCCCATTTTCAAAATTCTTTGTAAAGACGTTAATAGCCTGTGACACTGAATGTCTTAAAATATACTAACTAACTAACTAACTAACTAACTATTAACGTCTTTACTATGTATGTATGTATGTAGTTAGTTAATATATTTAAAGAAATTCAGCGTCACAGGCTATTAACGTCTTTACAAAGAATTTGGAAAATGGGTGTACCTATACACAAAAATTTAGATTTTTTGTATGTAGGTATGTAGTACGTAGGTTGGCTAGTAGATACGTTTATTTGGCGCTTTTAACATTTGAGCCATCAACACCTTAGAGGAGAGATCAAAATGTATGGTTGGTTGGTAGATGTATGTATGTATGTAAGTATGTATATTATGCATTTGCTCTTTCCCTCCTGAATGTGGGCTGCGCACAGTATGTATTGACTTTATTTCTGACCAAGTTAAGGGGCCTGTTATAAGAGGTATTCTCATCACGTAATAAGCGCCTCACGATGACTTTCGAGCGATGCACCGTAAGTGTCAAGCGTGAATTGATAACACCGTTTAATGAGCTGGGGTTGCAGGAGGGTGTAGGGGGGTTGTGAGGGGGGGGGGG